CTGTCAACCTTTCCCCTACCTCTCAGTCATTGTGCCCACCTATCGATTAATGATGCCTCAGCTGTCCTTTTATAACTTCCCTCTAGCTTCTAGTCAGTCAGAAGAGAGAAGCAGTGGGAAGAAGCACTGTGTAAGCTGGTGGGGTAAGCACTTAGAAGCTGGAGATAATGTTTTTAAAGGACAGCGGAGCCTGCAGCTACAGAGATTGGAGTGAGAGCAATCCTTCTCTCTCGCTTGCAAGGCTTTGCAGCTGCAGGCTCATATGTCCTTTTATAACTTCCCCCTGCTATTTAGCCATTCGTACTGCAGGAAAAACAGCATTAGAGACAGGCGAGTGGCAGCAAGGAATCCTCCCCAATCCCAGCTCCAGTTCTGCTGTTGCTTCCTCCCCTCTTCCCCCCACCCATTATCTCTCTCTGTCTTTCTCTGTGTGTCTCACTTTCAGCCAGCCAGTCTTTCTTGAGCTGGTGGAGGGGGAGAAACAATAAGAAGCCCCCCCAAGTTTTAAGAGGACAGTGGAGCCTGCAGCAAAAGAAGTAGGGGTGAGAAGCTCAGATGTTCTTTTCAAATATCCCCCTGCTATTTAGCCATTCATACTGCAGGAGGAATCCTCCCCAATCCCAGCTCCAGTTCTGCTCTTGCTTCCTCCCCTCTTCCCCCACTCATTATCTCTCTCTGGCTATCAGCCAATCTACCTCTCACTGTTGATGCAACAGGGCCTGGAGTAGATCCCTGTGGCAGCCATTTCAAAAGGTATGGGGGGAATTCAACCCTCCCTGAGGGTTTTTTTAAAAAGTTTTTTCTGCAGACCCACAGAGTCCCCTGAGTCTGTAGAAAAACCTGTTGGGGGAGAGTGTGCCCTCTGTTTGAGAAAATAAGTACCCAAAGGCAGAGGGGACTGTTGAGAATTAGATTATCACCAATAATTTATTTTTACTACATGTATCTGTCTCTGTTTCTCCATCACAGAACTCAATGTGGCCTACATGAAAAGGCACTAGAAAGACCCAGACCAACTGAGCTTCAGCAAGGAAGCTGTATCACATGCCTTCCAACCATACCCTGGGACCCAATGCTGGCCAACAGATACATGTAACACTTGCATAACCACATTCCACACAGCACCTCAGCCTGTAAAAGATGTGCTAACTGGGAGAAAAACCATATTTTCCCATTAACAAAACACTGCTGCTTTGAAAGCTGGGAAAATGAAAAAAAATTAACTGGAGGGGTTGGATCTGACACAACAAATAAGTAACAACTGTACATTTTTTGTACAATCAAATAATCATCTGGAATGTCTTAATGTGAGAGTTGAAGAACCTAAAGCAGGGGTGTCAAAGTCATTTGTTATGAGGGCCAGATCTAACATAAATGAGACCTTGTTGGGTCGGGACATGTGTGATGTGTCATAAAATGTAATGCCAGGTAGCAGAGATATAAACTTTATAAAGGACACAAACACAATTAAAGATTTTTTTAACTTTAAATAAGACATGCCTAAAACACTAGCACTCTTGCAATATTTTGTCTGTTTAACAGTCTCTGATAACTGACACCTCTTGCTCTGAATTACTGCATCAAAATGTCTGTGCTGTAGCAATCTTGAGTATGCTGTTCAGGTGTGCATCTGTAAGTTGCAAACTTACTTTTGATTTATTGACATTCATTACAGAAATGTCATGCTCAATGTTGTGAGCCTAGGACCCAGGGGAAAACATAAAATAGCTGGGCATTGAAACCTTTTGTACATAAGTTGCTTCATGTACTGGTGAAAAACATGAGAAGGCATCCTGACACAGACTGAGGTCCATGTGTTTGTCTACAAAACTATAGTCTTTCCCAGAGAAATAACTACAACTTCCTACAAAGGAAATGTTTTGGGTGAACTTGGTCTGGACACACACTCTTAGCCTAATCCACTTCACTGGCTTGTTGAAAGAATTCACATTACTTTCTTACTGGGAAAGACTGGATCCTGAGGGCTTGAATACAGTGGAAAGGGGGAGGAACCCAGTTGCACCCAGGAGAGCCTTGAAATAAAAAGCCCAACAAAACACCCACACTGTAGCAAGGCACACAAAAGCTCATACCATGAACAAAACTTTGTTGGTCTTAAAGGTGCCTAGTATTTCTCCTGTGCGATTAAGGCAGCCCAGCAAAGAAAGCTCTCCCTCCTTCACTCCCTCCGTCCCTTCAAGGAGGAGCCTCAGCCAGTGGAAGGAAAGAAAGGCTTCCCTTTGTCTCCTGCAGCCTGGCCAGGATGTGAGCTCTGGCTGTTCCCTCCATCCCCCTGGAAGGAGGAGGGGGAGGAGCCTCAACCAGTTATTTACCAGACCCTCTCAATTGCACAGGAGAGGCTTGCCTATCTATCTCTCCTGTGGGACTGAGAGAGACTGGTAAAGCAAGCTGTGATGTGGCAGCAGCAGCAGAACTAGAAAAGGAAGCAGGAAACAGCCAGGGCCTTGTGGGCTGGATCAGGGCCCTCCGAGGGCCTGATTTGGCCTGCGGGCCGCATGTTTGACACCCAACACCCAGTATTAAGGGCATCTGACAGTCTGACCTGAGGCACAATTACAGTGGCAAAAATAAAGCATAAAGTAATAGAGGAGCTATAAGACAGGCTGGAAATGGCTGTCAAGGGACTGAGGTGTTGTTTCTGATACCAGAGAGAGAAAGAGATAATCTCAAAAAGAAAATAACTGAATTGAATTAACAGTAGAACAAAAGCACAGAAGAACAAGGGGGAAAAAAACTAGGGAGGGAGACAGAGGAATACTTGCCACCACATTTTCAAATACTGGTTTATATGAACATAGGAAACATCTTCAGACAGCGCTGGCTCTTCGGCTTTGAAATGGAGATGAGCACCGCAACCCTAGAGTCGGATTCAACTGGTTTTCGAGCAAGGGAACCTTTACCTTTACCTATGACCGCATGGTATATTTCAACATGAAAAATAATGATATATATCATAGGTGCACAGCATGTAGCCTGGCAGAGTCCTCACTGAAGGAACTTCTCACCTTGTACTTATTTCCACAGGGGAAGGTGGGGCTGGAACACCAACTCTTCTGTGTTGTGTGGGATGACAGTGTTCTGACCACAACCCATATCAGAAACTTCACTGCTGCAACCCACATGCTTCAAATCGGTTAATTTCTTGTTGAAGAAGAAGAGATTGGATTTATATCCCGCCCTTCACTACCCAAAGGAGTCTCAGAGCGGCTTACAAACTCCTTTCCCTTCCCCTCCCCACAACAGACACCCTGTGAGGTAGGTGGGGCTGAGAGAGCTCTGACAGAAACTGCTCTTTTTCAAGAACAGCTGTGCCAGAACTATGGCTTACCCAAGGTCATCCAGCAGGTGCAAGTGTAGGAGTGGGGAATCAAACCCAGTTCTCCCAGATTAGAGTCCGTGTACTTAACCACTACACCAAACCAGTGGCTTATGTTTACAAGCTCCGGAGATGCAAGGAGAAATTTTGAGTGGAGGGGAGAACATCACCTGTCAATCCAGAGAACAGCTGAGGGGCAGCATTCTGATCCCCCCCCCTGCCATTATGTGGGCCACAACAGAGCCAAGTGCCAACAATGTTTGGCTCATGTTAAAATTCATTATAGCTCCTGTAATTGCTTGAATTGTGCACCCATGCTTTGTATGAATACATTCAAGCCACCATTAACAGTTATCTGAAACTAAATGATGTATTACCATATTTCCTTCCATGCCAACTCATATAAGTATAACCGCATGTAATCAGCACTTCCATTTAATCAAATAAATATTGTTGGAATCTCCCTTATAAATAAAAGCCGAATGGTGGTGGCACTTCTCTAGAACATTCCACACGCTCCAAAATCAGTTCGCTCTCTGATCTGTCATTCAGAGGGTCTCCCTATCCACTGGCTGCTTTGCCTGAGTCCTGCCTCCAACATTCTAAACATTTTGCTCTTCCTCTCCCCCCCACAGCCAGTCAGAACACAGAGGTCATTTGCATATGTGACTTGATTGGCTTTTGCCTCTAACATTCTAAACAGTTTGCTGTTCTGAGGTAAAATGTGTCCAAGGGCTGGAGATCACTCAGAATTACAACTGCTTTCCAGATGGCAGAGATCAGTTCCCCTGGAGAAAATGGTGGGCTCTGTATCCTTATATGCTGCTGAGGTGGCCCCCATATGACAGCCAATGTGACATAGCAGTCAGGGCTTCAGAGTATGGGAGAGGCTGCATGTGTGAGGTGGGGGGTGGAAAGCTGAAGAGTGAGGGGGAAATAAAGGTAGGTTGATGATTGGCTGGGAGGGAGATAGGGTTGCCAACTCCAGGTGGGAAATTCCTGGATATGTGAGGGATGGAGCCTGGAGAGGGTGAGGTTTCAGGAGGCGTGGGACCTCGGACAGGTACAAAGCCATAGACTCCACCCTCCAAACCAACTATTCCCTTCTGGGGAACCATCGTTGCCAATCTCCAGGTGAGGGCTGGAGATCACTCAAAATTACAACTGTTCTTTAGGTAGCAGAGATCAATTCCTCTGGAGAAAATGGTGGACTCAGTGTCATTATACCCTGCTGAGGTCACCACAGCAAATTGATACTGAGTGTCCAAGGCCGGGGCACCCGCCCAGAGCCTCTTTCTAGAGGTCGTTGTATTTATTTCCACAACGGGCCTTTTTCCTAGTATTTTATAATGCTTTTCTTGTTCTTTTTAGTATTACATTTTTATACTTGTCCTTTGTCCAAAATATCAGGATAGCAGGTATGGTCCCCTATTCACTTTAGCCTGACAACAACCCCTTGGGGAAGATAAGACCAAGAGACTATGACTAGTTCAAGATCACCCAGTAAGTTTTGTAGTTGAGCCAGAATTTGTATTGGTTGCCCCTGACTAAATCCAACAGTCTCATCATCTCACCCTCTTAGCTCTCCAATGACATCTGGGTAAATGATGGTGTCATTATGTTCAGAGAGGTTATACTTGTATGAAGGCAATTTGAAACTTACGTTTACATATGACCCAAGCTTCTTCATCACACGTCTCACCACAGGTTCTCATTTCAAAGAAGTTGTATTCTTCCAGGCTGAGAAAACCATTCCCATCTAGATCAATCATTTCAAATATTTCTGACAAGGCTGCTCTAGAAGGTTGAGAAGACAGCATAATTTTACAGATAATCTGCTTCCTGCTTCATTTAATTTGTTACTGAGCAGTCTTCTTTGGTTGTTTTGGGTGAAGAATTATTTCAGCAACACAAAACACTTGCAAAGACATGAGAAAGAGCAAGCCTAAACTTTCTACAAAAGTTGTCCTTCCTCACCTGAACTCCTTAGTAAGTGCCAAGCATCCATTCCCATCTTCATATATGAGTTTGGCTTCTTTGGCAATTTGCTTTTTCATTTTCTTGAATCTACAGCCAGTGGTGAAAGGAATTATCCAATAAACACCAGCTCCAAGTTCCCCTCTCCAACCAAACGTCTACCACAAAGCAAAACAGATGTATGGCATGTTTTAAATTTCTAATACCACATTATTTTTCAAATTCACAAATTCACATAACACCAAGTCTTTTTTGAGTAACAAATTCACAACTATAAGTACTCATACCACTGTGCTCAGACAGTATACATTTCCCATTCATACACACCTCAGATTATAAAATAAACCAAAGATCATAACATTGAGGAGTAGTGCCTTGAATGTTAAGGCTTGGACACTGGAAATCCAGGCTCAAACTCCCATTCAGAAAGGCTTCATGTGGCAGCCAGGGTTTGCTGTAGTTGAAGTACAAAAGGTGAAAACCAAGTGCCTATTTCCGAATACCCTGAAGGATACTGTGAACTTGGCATTTATCCTCTGTATGTTCAGAGAGTAGCATATTCTAATAACACTTTGCAAGTTTATTATAGCAAACAGTACCTTTATCTCTCAGTGGAACTCTGAGTTTCTTATGCCCCAGCCTGAACCTCATCTTAAAGAAGGCATTAGAATGCAACATTGAAAATGGGTTTGTTACAGTTGCCAAAGTTCCACATTCTTTATATTGTACCCTATCCAGTGAATGTACCAAACACACCAAAGTGGTGCTAAGCAATCCCTTTTATACGATGGTTGATCTGGTGTCTGTATTTCATTTACCTAGCAAAAGGCTGGTGCTCCTTAGCCTTCACAGCCCCTGCCCACCACTGAGCCTCTGTAAACAAGAAATCTTGGGTACTCTATTTAGGGTTATCTCTACCAAGTGAGTTATGGAGGTACAGGGAGTGATGTGGGGCTGCCCAGTGTGTACTTTTTCCCAGGCTCCTCCTGCTCATGTCATAGTTCTCCTTACAGTGCCGGTGTTCCCTTTCTCATTGTGCTCTGGACATGGGCAGTGCCCACTTCAGCATGTGCCAGTTGACTGCTTCCATCTCTGCCTGTCACAGGCACACCACACTGCAAGATGACTGGTGGGTGGTGGTAACATTTCTATATATTCCAGTGCAATTCCTATACAATCTGACCTTGGCATTGGACCTTTTCTTTACCTTCCTCACTTCTGCTGGGTGAGCATAGGATGCCAGCTAACTGTGCTCCTGTTGGTGTTACACTGGCATTGGGATCTTGGCCTGCCTTAGGATTGGCTTACATATTGGCTAGACTACTTTGTTAGTGACTGAGTCATTTTCTTGAGGGAAAAAGCATAGAAGGGTTGCCCTTGATGTATTTTGACATGACTTATATGTGAAACATGAACAGCCCAATATCGTTATTGCCCATAAATAAAAATGGATACGCCTACATTAGTATAGACATTTAAAATGTCCCTGACCTCTTTATTTCGTAGCTCAGTGAAGTTCACAACGTTTAGTTTTTCCTCAGTTTCATTTTCCTTTAAAATATACAAAGCACTGTCCACTGCTAACCATGGAGAACATTTTCCTGAAAACAAAAAAGTGGAAAAAAATTGCTCTAATAATCAAAAATCTTAACACAGAGATGCATCTGAATCTAGATGCTAATCTAAAATTAATCCAAAAACTTAGCTCCAGAGGTGAAGGAACAGAAGGAAAGTATCAGCTAGCACTGTTCTGGAAATATGGGTGGAAAAGCCTGCTCAACAATTCATATAGACTACAATATAGAGCTTCTGTAGCAATTCTTACTTGGGAAACTTATTGTACAAGCAGAAAAGCACATTTGGACTGAATTTTACTTTTCTTGAATAACACTGTAGGCTGTAGCACAAGCTATGAACCAGCTCTTCCTTGAGCTACCCTCCATATGTGGAAAAGTACTTTTGAATCCATATGTAAACTAGGTCAAGTGAGTCATGACCCCTGCATCTTCCTTCACTTTCCCCTCCCAGTGGTAATTTCTGTCCCCAAGGAAGCTGATTCCTGGAGTTATGGGAACCACATGCAGTAACAGCCATGTGAGTTGGAGGGCTGCAGTGAGGAGGGGAAAAGGGGTCAAAATTACACCCTTTTCTCTGTTCCACTGACACAAGAGGCAGGAGGAAGCAACTGACACAAGAGGCAGGAGGAAGCAACTTCACCTCCTTTCCCCTGCTCACTGCAGCCAATTAACCCAAGAGGCTATTATTCCACACAGGGTGTGGGGAATCTACTTTCCTGAGATTGGAAATGGCTGCTGTGGGAAGTGGGGGTGATGTCCCCATCAGTGCCTTCTGTGGATGCATCTCTGGATCCAACCCATTATGTTTTAGAGATTCTTATTAAAAGGTTTTGTATGCAAGGAAACTGCTAACATATAAAAATATTTTTGATTGCTGCATGAAGATATTAAATTATGCAAACACTAAAATTTTATCCTTGTTGCTATGTTCCTGTGAGATGAGGCCATCACTCACTGTCTATCCTATAAGCAGTTCTATGAAACTACAGAATTTTCCCTCACTTTCCCATTTCTGGAAAAAAATAAGCATTCTTACCTTCCATTTGGCTAAAACATACAGGTTTAATGGTGATACATACTGTTGATCTCTGGGGTAAAAATAACTTGTATTTATGACTAACTATGTCATTATTATCTTCCAAGTAGAAACATCCTTTGGAATATGTACAATGCCATTCCTAATGACAAATCAAATAGTTAGTACATTACAAATTATATGACTCTCAGTAAAGCAGTGAACTTTGATAGTCACAATACTATCTCTTGGCTGAGTGCTTTTGACACTGTTAAAATTCTAAAGCTTTCTCTCCTTTTCTTTCTGGATGTTTTGCTAAACCTGTTTACTACATACAGTCTTATATAAAAGTTAATTTTGCCTTTGGATAAACTGGGAAGTTGAAGTCTAATTTATTTATTTAAAACATTTCTATTCCCCCATCTCTTTGGACTCAAGGTGGTGCACAATGTAGTAACCAAAATGCAAAGGCATAAATGGACAAAGTTAAAACAGATTTTAAACATTTCCCAATTTAAAAGCATTAAGTAATATAAGTAACCTGAATGTATTGACTTTGTTGATAAAGCAAGATCTGAACAGGGATCTTCCAGCTCACAAGAAACACTCTCTGATTCACACTTATATCCGTCTTTAGCACCTTAGAATGTGATTAATGTTTCAAACAATACAAGCAATTACTACAAGCCGGAGGAATTTGATAACTTCTCAAAGAGCAGAACAAATTATTTTTCGTTCATTCTATACAAAACATTGTCCACACTGCAGATAGCCTGTATAATTCTGCAAAACTAACTCTAGCCGGTTATGCTTCTAGAAGGCATAAGGTGGTGCTGCAGTCTCTAAAACCAGTAATGGGCTGGGGAAGTCTAGTGTCTTTCCTGTTGCTGTTTGCATTGTATTGTTTTCAGTAAAGTGAGTAACATGGGATACACAAAAGGTTACACTAATAATGAAACTACACATTTACCAAAACTATATTATTGAGCAGTGAAAGGGCATTAGACAAATGGACACAATTTCGGCTTAGGACAGAATCCATTTGGCATCCCCCTCAGTCATTTTGTCTGAGATTCTTCATACAGAAGTGAAGAGAAGGCTTCTTTTCAGCTGCAGATTATTACAGAAATGAGTGTATGGAGAAATATAATTTCCCCATGTCTTTACATATTTCTCTAGGTTTGTTTTGTAACACCTAATTCCTACACGTGCTACTCTGTATCTACTTGCAACACACCGCAACATGGAGGACTGAAGGTTCCACAGCTTGCTCTTTTATATACTAACTAGCCTGCTACCCGTGCTTCGCTACGGTATTTAAGTTCTGTAAATCCAGTTATAATACTGATGATGTGAAGTCTGAAATGTAACATTTGTTGTAGGAATTCTAAAAGAGAAGATTGTAGTATAAGAACTGAAGTGAGACATACGTACTTTTTTCCCTCTCTACTGAAGGACCTCTCTCTAGACCACATTGGTGGTTCTGCCCTCAGGTGCTAGGATCGCCAGGCTGCTTGGTGAGCTCACTCTGGAGCAGGCCACATAGAACTGTCCATTTAAGAAGCAGTCGTCTGTTAAGTCAACTCCTGCCACCTTCCACAAAAGTGATAGCCTCTCTACTTATGTTCCTGGATTGTTTTGCTCATATGGAGACTGTGTTCTTCTCAGCACCTCAGGGTGATCTTGCTGGTATTTGGCCTGTGCAGCTCAGTGCACTGCAGGAGTACAATGCGCAAATGTATTTGCCACATTCCTAAATTGCCTCCTCCTTGTAGCGTTGGTGTATCTGGCTCGATGTTTGCCAGGAGCTTTCTTGGGGGCAGTAAGGGAGTGGTGATGTGGTGGACATTTCTTCAGGTTCAGGAGGGAGGCACGCATCAAAAAGGCTCCTAGAAATGTCCTTTACTATCTCCCCATAAACATTCATACCCTGGCCCTGCTCCTACACCTGACAGACACCGGCCTGTCTGGTGTTGGGGGGGATTGTATTTAAAGGCACCGGGGAGGCTGGGCCAGCAGCAGTGCTAAGGCAATCCTGCTGAGCAAACCTCCCAGTGGCTGTAAGCATCCCACCTCCTCTCCTACACCTGACAGGCAGCTGTCAGCCACTGTGGAGGAGGGGCTGCACCTGACAGACAACCGCCTGTTAGGTATAGGAGGTGGGGGGAGTGTGTTGGAAGCCACCCCACCTCCTCTCCTACACCTGACAGGCAGCTGCCTGTCCAGTGTAGGAGGGGGAGGGGGGAGGAGTATTAGAGGTCACTGTGGAGGTGGGGGAAGTGTGTTGGAAGCCATCAGAGAGGCTGGGCCAGCAGCTTAACTTTACCTCAAAGGCGGTTCTTGGCCACTCCTTTTTATTTTGCCCATAACATTGTTGTCTCACAAGTTAATCGAATGTTCAATATTTTAACTTCACTTACCACCACCAAAAATCAAAACAATACATCCTAAACCAGCACCTAACACCCTCGCCCCTGTGAGGTTAAAGGTTCTACTTTTCTATTTTATATTTAATGAATTATATCATACATATTCCGGATTCAGTATTCCGATTTCACTCCATTCGCCTCTACTTAGCTTTAAAAGTTCTGTGTCTTTTTCCTTTAGCCTTCTATCATTTAACTATCTACCTTATTTTCCTTTCTGATTATCTATCCATTTATAAAATTTTGACCATGTTTTCTGAAATTGGCTCTCTGATTTGTCTTTTAAATGAAACAAAAGTTTGGCGTTTTCAGCTGCTTGTAATATTTTGTTTAAAGTTTCTGTTCTAGTAGGCACCTCTGGTGACTTCCAATGTTTTGCAAATAAAATTCTTGCTGCTACAATGATAGGGATTATACAGTGTACATCTTCTTTTCTATGTTCTCTTGGTGGTATATTTAGAAGAAAAAGCTCTGGTATGAACGGAATATTGATTTGTAAACTTGCTTGGATAATTCCATGTACTTCTATCCAGTAACATTTCGTTATTGGGCAATTCCACCATATGTGATAGAATGATCCAAGTTTTTTTCTGGCATTTCCAACATAAACTTGTGTATTTCGGGTCAATTTTCGCTATCCTAGAAGGTGTAATATACCACCTCTGGAACAATTTACATATGTTCTCATACAGTACCGTTCTAGTCACTTTTAGGCTTTTCCCCCCCAGATCTGCTCTCAATCTTCAAGATTGATTGTATGCCCTATATCTTCGGCCCATTTTTGTTGATGTACTAAGACATAAGCTGTTCCAGATCATATGCATCTGCCTGACAGATGACATCTCCTAATTTACAGATAAGACTGGAGCAAACTAGTTTTAGCCAGTGCTGGAGAGCTGGAGTCAGAATGACTCGGCACAAGGTACTGATTGGCTACTGACATGTATATATGTAGTTACTGTACAGTCTATTGAGTTCCCTCTTGATATGTGGATACTTGGCAAAGCACTTTGCTCGTTGCTTGTGTATACCAGCATCACCAACAACCTTGTAAATAAACTTGTAAATACTTTCTACATTTAACCGTGTGGACAGTAGACTTCTTTGGGCTAGACTCTCTATTGCTAGATCAGTGCAGGCATTCAACATACTATCCTAACAATTTTATCATGACATTTTTAACTGTTTCATCAGCCATTTTGTCTTCCAACAAAAATGTATACATTTTTAAAATAAATTTCTTATTAGTATATAAAACAATCTTGTCCAGTTCTGTGTATTCACTATAAAAGCCTATTTTTTTAATCTTGTGTGTATCTGGATTGGATTTGGTTCGCTTGCCACCAATTTTGGTCTAAGGGTTTATTAAGTTCTAAGTTCTTTTCTAATAATTCATGGTATGTATTTAGTTTTTCTTTTCTGCTTGAATTGGGATTTAAGAGGGCTTCTAATGGAACGACCCATCTCGGGGTCTTTATATAAAACCGTTTTTTGACTTTCCTCCAGATTTTAAGTAGAGACGCCCTAAGCCAATGTGTTTCAAAATATTTGTGTATCTTAGCTTTCTCGTACCACACGTAAATCATGTGCCTCTATTCTTAACATTCTTTCATTTTCTAAAGTTATCCATTGCTTAACCCATGCCAAGGTCGCTGCTTTATAATATAACAGCCAATCAGGAAGTGCAAATCCCCCTCTACTTTTAAGATCTTGCAAGACTTTTGGTTTAATCCTTGGTTCTAATGGAACCTTGCCAAATAAAGTGAGCTATTAGTCTATCCAATTCTTTATAGTATTTGTAGTCTTTTATGACCGGAATGGTTTGGAATAAAAATAACACTTTTGATAGGATACACATTTTGATAGCTGCTATTTTCCCCATGAAAGACAGTTGATACTGGTTCCATTTTTGGAGAGTTTCTTTTATTTCTTTCAACAGTTTCTTGTAGTTATTTTCCACTAGATAACTTGTTTTGTTCGTAAATTGAATTCCTAAATATTTAATCATTTTCGAGATCCCTATTCTTGTTTGTTCTTGGAGGCTATCCGCTTGAGCCTTAGTCATGTTTTTACCAATATTTTTTGTTTTCTTAAAATTGATTTTGAGACCCGCTAATTTACCATATTTTTGTATCGTCAAAATCAATTTATTAATCGAGTAAAAGTTTGTATTTTTGATTTTTCCAATTTCAGCCCTTTGATTTGGTTGTCACTTCTTATCTGGTCCTTTAAGACTCCAAGTATCAAAATAAACAGTAATGGTGAGAGCGGGCACCCCTGCCTTGTCCTTTTCTGTATTTGGATCTTCTGTGAAAGATCTCCATTGATATTTATTTTGGCTTCCTGTTCTTTATATATAGAATTCACCATTTTGTAAAATTCTGTTCCAGTCTGGGAACTTATCAATACTTCAGGTATGAAGTCCCAAGAGACGTTATCAAAGGCTTTTTCCATGTCAAAAAACCCCCCCACAATGCCAGTTGCCTTTCCGGATGGGCCTCATAATACTCTAATATGTTCAGTATTAATTTTGTATTTTGCTGTATTTGTCTGTATGGTAAAAAGCCTGCCTGGTCAGAATGTATTGTTCTGACAGCACTCTCCTTAGTCTGGAAGCTAGTAATGAAGCAAATATCTTGTAATCTACATTAAGTAGAGAAATTGGTCTGTAATTTTGGATCTTTGTTTCTTCTAAGCCATATTTCGTCATTCGGCGACTCGCAAGGGCTGCTGGGATACATGAAGCTGTCACAGTCACCTCCCGGAGCCGAGGCAAACGTTCCAAAGAGCCGCATGCGGCTCCGGAGCCGCGGGTTGCTGACCTCTGTTCTAAGCCATGTTTATGGATCAAAGATATCAATGCTTCTTTCCAAGATTGTGATGTTTCTTCTTTCAACATAACCTCACTACATACCATTTTTAAGGGCATTATCAGTTGGTCTTCATATGTCTGATAAAATTCGGCGGGAAACCCGTCTGGAGCCGGTGTTTTCTTAGGGCTTCGATAACCTCTGCCATCGTGATTGGTTGGTTCAAAATCTTCCTATGTTCTTCAGTAAATTTTTTTGGTTTATGTTTGACAATGTATTCTTTAATTTCAATCTGGGAGGATGGTATGTTTTTATATAGTTCTTGATAATAGGTTTCCACTATATTTTTTTAATGTCTTCCATTTTGCTCTTTATATCTTCTTTCTCATCTCTTTATTGTTTTTTTTGTGTGTTTCATTCCAAAGTCTATACGCTAGCCATTTCGTGAGTTTATTGGCGTTTTCAAAAAAAATAATAATTTTGCATATTGTATTTTCTTGGCTATCTCTAGGGCTAGTAAACAATTCATTTTATGTTGGAGGATATTTAGCTTTTCTTTATTCTGTTTTTTACTTAGACCATGTTTCATTTCCAGTTCTTGTTTCTTTATTTGCTCCCTTAAGAGACAATACTCTTTCTCTTTTTGCTTCCTTTGGTATACTGCCTCTTTAATCATCAGACCTCTTGCGTATGCCTTAAAAGCCTCCCAGACTGTACTCAAAGCCATTCCTGGTTGTATATTTCTTTGGAAAAATAATTGAAATTCTTTTTTAGTTTTCGCTACAAACTTTTCATTCTTTAGTATTGCTGTATTTAAAGTCCATCTAAGCCTTCTTGGTATATCTTGTCATTCTAAGGTTATAGGATTGTGATCTGCAAATGACGCTGGCATTATTTCAGCTTCTAAAATATCTCTTGTCATTGATGCTGAAATCCAGCACATGTCGATCCTAGACCAAGAGGCGTGGGTTCTTGGCCACTCCTGATTTGTTCAACTGTCATTAGCTCTCTGAAGTCCCCTGTAACTGTTGTTTTTTTTACCTCAGAACACTGAGCTCTCTGATACTTCTTCACCCAAAGAGTGATTAACACATGGAATTTACTGACACAGGAGGTGGTGGCGGCTACAAGCATGGATGGCTTCAAGAGGGAATTGGATAAACATATGAAGAACAGATCCATCAGTAGCTATTAGCCACAAGGTATAGATAGGAACTCTCAGTCTGGAGCAAGTGATGCACTGTATTCTTGGTGCTTGGGGGGGGGACAGTGGGAGGGCTTCTAGTGTCCTGGCCCCACTGCTGGACCTTCTGATGGTACCTAGTGTTTTTGGCCACTGTGTGACAGAGTATTGGACTGGATGGGCCATTGGCCTGATCCAACATTGGCTTCTCTTATGTTCTTATGTGCTCTTACTACAGAGATTCTCTGGGACATTCTGCTGGCGTTGTATCGCCTTGCTATTTTTTCCCCATTGGAAACAATGGAGGATGGGGACACCTTCTTTATGTGCCCATAGAATTGAACCACCGTGTCCAATCTTTTTGAAACTTGGGGGTTCATTTGAGGACAGGCTACAGCAGCTATGCTTCAAATTTGGTGCCTCTACCCCCCCCCCCGACCACTGAATATATCCCGGGAGATTTGCAATTGACCTTAATGGTCCCCATAAGGTATAATGGACCTGAATACATTTGGGATTCCTGAATATTTACTGAATCTGAATACCATACTGGTATTGGGATTCGTGAATACTAGGAAATACCAACATTTTTTGGGTCCAATATACCCGAATCTGAAAAAAAATAAAAAAAATTTCTTGCACACTTCTACTAACAACTAAACTCTGTTTCGCTGCAGGACAGTGAACTTGAGCACCTTTTGGTAGTTTTCAGATGCATATGTACACAATTTATCACACACAGGCCCAGTTTATATACCAGAATAACTGGAAGAGCTCTTAAGTAATTAGCAGTGCATAGCATTACTTAGCATGAATAAGGCATGTGCTTACTGAGTGACAGCCCCTCTCTATCAGTAACTATGTAATCCTACACAGAGTTCCAGCCTTCTGATTCCACTGAAGTCCATCGTTTTAGAAGGGTATGACTCTGTTTAGGATTGCACTGTAATAGTGCTATATACCAGTTATTCTTATAATTTACAAGAAACATGGAAACATAGCGCTGGAAGGGATCTCAAGTCCAACCCCTTGCACAGTGCAGGAAATTCACAACTACCCCCCCCACACACACACTTCCCCAGTTACCCCTGCTCTATGACCAGAGGAAGGCAAAAAACCTCCAGGGACCCTGGGCCAATCTGGCCTGGAGGAAAATTCCTCCTTGACCTCAAAGTGGCAATTGGCATTACCCTGGGCATGTAATAAAGGGCCACGTGAGCCAAGCACTGAAGGAGCTGGGTATGTTTAGACTGCAGAGAAGACAACTGAGAGGTGATATGATAACCATCTTCAAGTACTTGATGGGCTGTCATATAGAGGATGGTATTTTCTGTTGCCCCAAAAGGTTGGACCAGAACCAACACGTTGAAATTAAATCAGAAGAGTTTTCAGCTAAACATTAGGAAGAACTTCCTGACAGAGTGGTTACTCAGTGGAACAGGCTTCCTCGGGAAGTGGTGGGCTCTCCTTCTTTGGAAGTTTTCAGAGGCTAGATGGCCATCTGACAGCAATGCTGATTCTGTGAACTTAGGCAGATCATGAGAGGGAGGGCAGGAAGGGTTGCCTCAGTGCTTAGTTCTTGTGGCCCTTTCTTGCATGCCCAGGGAAATGCTGATTGCCACTTTGGGGTCAGGAAGCAATTTTTCTTCGGGCCAGTTTGGTCAGGGATCCTGGAGGTTTTTTGTGGGTTCAGAGGGGGAGGTATTTGTGAATTTCCTACATTGTTCAGGGGGTTGGACTAGATGGCTCTGGAGATCCCTTCCATGATTCTATGTTGCTAAAAAAGTTGAAAAAAACTTCGGACATTGCAAACAAGGCTGTGGTTTTTTGAAATACTAATTCTGTGGTTTTTTGAAATACTAATTAATAAAACATGGACCCTTATTGGGCAGCATTCTTATTCCATGGGATAAATATCTACAACTCCAAAAAACTCTATGGAACATGCATTTAAATTCCTACAAACTCCTATATCTTGCAAAGCCAATCCAACTCATCTACAAATAGCTACCCATACAAGTCTAATTCTTGTCACAGTTATTTTTCATTACACAAGAATTTGTCTTTTGCTGTTTACAGCTTTAAGTATAGCAACCCTTTCCCCAAGTTAACAGTACTGGATGCTAGTGACAGTGTGACTACACAGATATGCAATAATTTACTGATCCATTACTCATGTACGAGTCCTAACCAAAGACAAAATTTAATTAATTAAAAATATGGCAAATCTGCACAGAACACTGAACTAATATTTGGGAACTTTACTAATTAATTACAAAAGCCTAGTCTTGTGATCACTCTCTAGTCATAATCACTTGGAAAGCTAGTTTTCATTATTACTCTGTTAGACTGTTGAAACACATTCAGTTACTATTAGCAGAAAACCATGTTTTCACACACTACATATCATCTTTGAACATGCTGGAATTACAGGCTAAATTGCATAGGGGTACCGATACCTAAACACACAGAAAAAAAATCCTTGGAGAGGATGTTTTTAAATTTTAATATAGAACAAATGTCACTGTCTAGCAATGTTAAAGATATAAAGGACTTCAGAGTTCAATAACAAATACAGAGTTGTTATTTGAAACAAAAATGTAACTCCAGAGAACAATCAGTTCAGTCTTCTACCTGCAGTTATATTATGTGGTCATAACCATTTTTTCCCCTTGCCCAGAGGTCTCAAGGTGCACATTTTTAATGTATCTTAGCAGTTTCCAGTTAATGTTTCATATTTCTCTAGCTATTATTTTCTGTAGAAAGAAAACTAGTAAAGGTTGAATCAGGAAAGGGAAAACAAAAGGAAAAAAGATCAATATTAACACTACAAATATTGACTTAGCAAAGTGACTTTGTTGTCTTTCTCCCAAAGGAATGGATATTGAATGAATGACTTATTTAAAAGAATTTACTTGTAAAACTTATTAGTCTTTTACTAAGTCAATATTTTCAGGCTACAGTGTATATTTACCAATTAATGTCTTCTTATCGGAGTAGGTGTGAAGATATTTATTTTCAATTACCTTTCTTATAGAGGTTTGTGATACATAATCTTTCAGGCTACTTAAGCATTTAAAGTACTAATAAATTATTCAATTTTTCATTTTTCAAACAGTCATTAACAATTTTATCCAAGAGTGCTTTCCTTTATGAAAAACATGCTACGTTTGAGCAAACATTCACACCTGAAAAATGATCTTAAGTAACAGAATGTCAGCAAAACCAACATTATATACAAATGTTTATTATAATATTTTGTAGCCAGAAATCTCTGTATGCTACACTGTTGCCCTTGACAAGCAGTTAATAAAACATAAGCTATAAAAGGGAGAGACATAGTTTTCTATTTAAAATGCGATGGGTGTACTTGAAATCAAGAAGCGCAAGTTAAATTGAATTAACAAACAAACAAAAATGTACCTTTACTGCATTTGGTTCAATTAGCTTGGATTTTTTGTTGCTGCTGGCACCCATGCTGATAGTGGATGTCACAGAGATTTTGCAACTTGGGGCTAAGGAAGGCTGCAAAGAAGACTTGCAGGGACCTAGAACACAAATTTTATTTGCACTACTTGGTATTCATTTATCAATATTTATGTTCATCAACAGTACAGAGTGTCAAGTCCTAGACGCAATCACTCCCACAACACTCTTGTAGCAGGAAGATATGTTTATTGAGAGGTAGAGAGATTCCAAGCATAGACAGATTCTGTGCCGGAACTGGCCTCTGGATGCCAGTTCTGACCCTATACTAAAAAAAGGACATTCCCCTATGCCAGCCACCCAATCTATATTCGTATTCAGCCCGCCAAAGATCCAAGCCTGCCCTTATGGCTGCCCCCCAGCACCTGCAAACTAATAGTTACATTATCTAGAAGCTCCCCGTGCTACAAGGTCATGTTGGACACTGAGATCATACACTTCCCAGGGTCTCACAGACTGCTACAAGCTGGCATTATTCAAGCTTAAGCAGACATTCACACACACTCCCCCCTTTCCTAGCAGAGAAGATAAACAGCAGTGAATCCTGGAATACCTATAGACGAAAATAGTGAAATAAGCATAACTGAGAAAGTAGTTAACCCCTAATGCAACAGAGTATGAGTTTGGCTAGACAACATTCTATGACAAGCGAGGCCTGAGCTTGACACAGAGAGAAGACTAAATAGTATTCAGATCACTGGTTATTCAAACTAGTAAAAGAACTAAGAGCGACCAGATAATAAATTTGTTTCTTCAATTGGGCAGGTTAGAACCTATTCTAGTTTGTACTAAACCTGTCAAGTCCACTTGTAATGAACCTCTGGCCTGCAGCTACTGACTGAGTGGCATTTGCATCCATACATCAGAGAACCCATCCAACCTAAAAAATCTCAAACAGCATAGAATCCACACCAGATCAATACATGTGGTTGCCAACTTCCAGGTGTTGGCTGCAGATCTCCTGAAATTAAAACTGATTACCATTACCAACAATAACAACTGAAATTTATAGAGCCCTGGCCCTTGGCTTGCTATTGACAGCCTGTGCCTGCCAATTATATCTGGGAAAGATCAGTGAGCTGAACATCTAGATAATCTATTGAATGCTCTTATATGGTACTGCCATCGCTATGAATTTAAATCAACATTGCTAGCACTTTATGATACTGTACTGTTTTATAATGAACTGTTTTTAGATGTTTTTTTGGTAATTTAATTGTTATTTATGTATTTACTTTTATGTAAGCTGCCCTGAGCCTGCCTCGGTGGGGAGGGCGGGGGTAAAAATTAATTAATTAATAAATAAAAATCTCCAGGCAACACAGATCAGTTTCCCTGGAGGAAGTGGTTCTTTTAGAGTGGACACTGTGGCATTATAGCCTGCTGAGATCCCTCCCCTCCTTTTCCAAGCTCCATGACTAAACCTCCAGGAATTTCCCAACCCAGAGTTGGCAACCCTATCAATGCAGTGTTATCTGATACTGTGCTAAGTTATATTAAGATGAAGGATCCTCACTTCAAAAATTTCCCCTGGATTCTGCCCCATGTTTTATGATAACTAGGCACCATTTCAGTTCTCACCACATGTGTGGTTACTTTTAATGTGTGCAAATTGTGCAGATGATATTGTAACAACTACTTAGAGGCAGAATGATTATAGAAATCTTTGAGAAACTGGGAGGAATGGAATAAAACAGAAACCACAGGAACAGCAAGCAATTCATCCACTATATCCCAACATGCCTTCTGCATGTTTTCAGATAAAGTGAAGCAATCATTTACTATATAGGAGCTAGGTTTCTGTTCAGATACACAACTATATTATAGTGAATGAGTTTATCTTCTGAAAGATTATGAAAATTTTCATATTCTGCAGAACTTTCATGGAAGGTGATTTAGCTAGGGCCCTCAAGACATTACTGAAGAAGTTACCTTTTCCAAGATAAATTCTTCTGGCCTTTCTAAAACTCCACTTGAACACACATAAAGCTGCCTTATACTGAATCAGATCCTTGGTCCATCAAAGTTCAGCCTACTCAGACTGGCAGCAGCTCTTCAGAGTTTCAGGCAGAGAGGTCTTTCACACCACTACTACCAGATCCTTTTTTTAAAAAAAACTGGAGATGCCAGGGATTGAACCTGGGACCTTCTACAGGCCAAGCAGATGCTCTACCACTTAGCCACAGCCCCTGCCCTTCATCCATATTACTTTAATTTATTTTCTTTAATACTTTTCCAGTGCCATAATTATATTTGCTTTAGAATAAGTAATCAAACAGTCTACTTACATGCTCCCACATTTCATTAGCTCATCTTAGTTGCAATTACACTATTGAAGTAGGTGAGCAACACTGACCATGCAAACAGCAGCCATTATCTAGCCAAAATGAAAGTTTTGAATTCCTTTGATTTCAATGAGTGTCAAGCACACATTTAAATCTCTCCCTCTGAGATCAATGGGATTTAAAAATGCTTTACACTGGTTGCATCATGACCAAAAATATCTTTGGCTCCAGATAGACAGGCTGGTGGTATGTTATACTTTATGCTCACTCACCTCTTTTGCCACTGGATATGGTCATGCATAAATCCATTAATATTAATGTAAAAAACGAAGCTGAGAGATAGAGCCAAACTGCTTTGAAGAACCCTGGAAATACTAAAGAGACATTTCTAGCACAGATAAAGTAAAATTCTTAATGAAACAGATGTGCACACGTTTTAGGAAGGAAAAAAGCTACTGTATCCAAAGCATTATGAGGCGTGGGGATCAGAAAACTCAAGGAATAGAACTTCCCTGCTTGAAAAGTAAATACCTCCTTTTAGTGCTGGTGTGGTTTCTGTTTTTCTTTCAGTTTTTGGTTTTGAATCTGGTGATATCTCAATTTGATTTCCAAACTGCTGGCACTTCAGTTTACTGTCAACCTCCAGTTTCTCTACTGCATTCTTCAAACATTGTTCATTGGTTGCCATATACGACTTACAAAACTGTAAACAATAAAATAACCTCTAGGTTTCCCAAGCATTTTGGAAGAAAAGTAAACACATGCAGTTCTAAGCAAAGAAAAGCAAAGAATATTTCCCCAGAGAAGCAATCCTTATTTTATTTTCATAAATCACACTGACCACTCTCAAGTGACACAATAAAATGGAGCTATGATTCACAGAACGGAGAGAAATTTTAAAAGATTAAACAACCTAAGATATTATTTATTGTCTAGAACAGACATTTGTGGGCATAGTGGTTTTTTATGTCTGAATTCAATGGAGTGTTATTATATTCTATTAATCTAGTTGGGAATCTTCAACAACTAATATAATCACTGATAATGCTAGGTGAAAAGTAAAATAAAACTGACCATCTTTTTAATTCAAACATAATATTGTACCTCTGGTATCTACACTCAGAAAGATAGTGGGTTGGATCCAACCAACTTTTCCTCTTGTGAAAAAAGGAGGGATTCCCTTTGACCACCAAAAGGACTATGTTGGGGATCATAGGACCTGCATGGACAAAAACCATGTTGGAAAAGAGGGAAATCAGCTAAGACTGAACAAAAAAGCTGGCTAGATCCAACCCAGTATCTTGACACTGAACTGATTGTGCAGTCCTAAGCAGAGTTATGCCCTCCCAAGACTTCAAGGGACTTAGAAGGATGTGACTGCATAAGATTGCACTGACTGTACACTAAAAAAATTGTAAGGAATGCCCTTAAGCATTGAGACTGAACACTCTACCATTCTCATGGCTGTTTATAAAAGGGCATTCTTATGTTTGTACATCACCAAACTTGGCCTCAAAAATTCACAACGGACTTGATGGAATGCTGCTTTTTCGGGGATAGTACTCTGCGCTAGTCCCCATAGGATTATCCCTAAATGTTAAATATACTGAATCTTTTAAATATATGTACTGTAGTATTACTGAGCACATACTAAGATATTTATAAATGCCTCCCACATTAACACACTAATGAACATACGTCAAGATTGTAATCTTTACGTTGTCAGAACCTGACTAGACAGTCCTGTTCAAGATCTGTCTGTCAGTGGCTGACAACGGCACAACAAACTATGGTTTACAATCCACAGTTTGGTTGAACATGGTTTTTCTTTATGCCTGAAGCTTCAAATTACAATTTGACCATGCATGCCAAATCAGAATCTCCTATTTGAAATTAGTTTGCAAAACACAGTTTGGAAATTTGTTCATTGTTCTGCTACTGTAAGAATAGTGCACACTAGCATATTTATTACGCCATACAGTTAAATGGAAGCACAAAGCTAGTTGGCAAATGGAAGAGTAAGACTGTCCAGTTTAGAATTCTGGTGTGTGAGGAGGCAAGAACCACAAAATATGGTTTGTTGTGTATGGTTCACAAACCAATGGATGGTTAGTATAGGCCTCATGGTTCGTTGTTACAGCTTTACCATTCCACTCTCTCATTACTGAATGCATGTCACCCCTGCACCCTGTGATTATCAGATCTTTTCACTACTATACCATTCTAAACTGCCATTTGTATAAGGATTACACAGAAGATTACCAATGAACTCTGACACCATGGAAGTGGATCAATTTTGTTAGGCCCTTAAGAACCAAATTATTCTAATTCATTCTGTCTCACCACTTGACTCCTGAAAAACGCAAGTATTGGGACTCTTCTGTCTACTTCAGTAACCATCTACTGAAAAACATTAGTAGTGGGTCTCTACCAATCCATCTAAGTAGACAGAAACCGTGTACTGACTAGACCAGTATCAAGTCAAACACTGTCATTTTGTTTTGTTATACCTTGTAATAGTAAAACTTGCCATCGTTGTTCACTTCAGTCAACTCAGTGATTGTATTAACTTCATCAAGAGTCATTTTTTCACCTTTCTGCAAAACAATGCTAGTTGTTAATAAAGGAAGAGCATCATATTATTTAATCATGCAGAAAAAATAGCCGTTACTACTCCTTCTAATACTGCCCCAGAGTACATATTAAAAGGTAGAAATAAAAATGGAGCAGAAGTGGGCTAAAAGCAGGGAAAGGGGAGAAACTGCCAGAGCTGTGAGGGGGAGGGAAAGCAGAGACCGTATGGGGAAAAGGACCAGTTGAGGGGTAGATTTCATCCCTCTGAACATTCTCATAGATCCACCTCTTGTATATTTAATTTATAAATCATTATTTACAGCATGTATATCCTGCCTTCTGTCCTCACAAGGGCAGTCAAGGCAGCTAATAATTTAAAACATACACAAAAAATTACATTACAAAACCATTAAAATCAACCCCCTTCTCAAACAGATATCATTAAAACAATCTAAGGCTGAGTTCAGACTGGCAGTTTGAAGTGGGAGGGAGTCGTTGCAAAAAAGAGCTGGAACAAACTGTTTCGGGTTTTCCCAGTCACACTCTGCGGACTGATGCAGGAGCATACTGGGAGGAGGCGCGAAAGAGCATTCACACAGTTGGTCCGGAGGCGCGGCTGTAAGCTGCATTTTCCGCGCGGCAGATGCCTAGACGCAGCGGCAAATAGGGCAGGATCTGGCCACTGTGGGCCATAGGCACATCCAGCGACATCACTACCCCCTTCCTGGTACCAGAGTGAGGCTAGGAGGTCAGTCAGCGTCAACAGGTGGTGCACATTATTAACGCGGGCTGTTCCCGGCTTTTAGCGGTTAGCATTCACACTTCCGGGAAGTGGAATGAAGTGGGATAAATGGGCTCTCCACAGTTTGCTACCACTTTCACCAAGTATCTTTTAAACCCGGGAGCGAAGCGCTACAACACGGGTTGAGTATGGGTGGGGAATGCCAGACAGATGTGCCTGCGTGAACCGCCCCTTTAATCCGCTTGTGAAGCGTTCCTCACATGCGCCTATATCGGGGCAAACTGCCAGTCTGAACTCGGCCTAAAAGAGTTAAAAACAGAATTAAAATACATACATAACATAACAAAGCATAAAAACTGGTTAGGAAGGAGGAATCATTGAGGGAATGCCAAATTAAACCAAGAAGTCTTCACCTGCTGGCCAATGACAGCAACAGAAAGGCACAGACAAATATCCATGGAGAGAGAGTTCCAGAGCTTTGCTACTATGACCAAGAAGGCCCTCTCCTGGGTTGCCACCCAAGAGATCACAGAAGGCTGGAGCACCCAAAGCAGGGTGGGTTTAGAATGGATTCGGTCCTTCAGGTATGTTGGTCCCAAATCATACAGGACTTTGAAGGTCAAGACCAGCACCTTGAATTGTGCCTGGAAACAAACTGGAAATCTGTATAGATGGGCCAAAACTGGAGTCATATGGTTTGTATGACCCACTCCAGTCAACATACTGGCTGCAGTGTTCTGCACCAATTGAAGTTTCTAAACACTTTTCAAGGGCAGCCCCATGTCCAGCACATTGCAGTACTCTAATCTCAATGTCACCAGGGCATGTACCACAGTGGCAAGATCTTCTCTCCCAGAAAAGGTCACTGGCTAATTAGTCGAATGTGGTAAAAGGCACTCATGGCCACAGCAGTCACCTGCAGTAGGCCTGGGTCCGAGAGCACTCCCAGACTATGGACCTGTTTCTTCAAGGGGAGTAGAACCCCATCCAGAATGGCTGACATCTTAAATCCTGGGTCAGACTACCAGTAGCACTTCTGTCTTGTTGGCATTACATTTCAATTAACTAGGTCACATCTGTTCCAAAACTTCCTCCAGGCAGTCCAGAGTTTCTACAGACTCTCTGGGATCAGCTAAAAGTGCGAGATAGAGCCCAGTGTCATCCACATACTGGTGACAACCCAGCCCAGATCTCCAGATGACGACCACATCCAGCGGTTTCATGTAGATGTTAAAGAGTATAGGGGACAAGATTGAACCTTGAGGGACCCCACAGGCCAAAGGCCAAGGGGCTGAACTGAACAGCAGTCCTCCAACACCGTCTTTTGGAATCTACCCTCCAGGTAGGACAGTAACCATCACAGAATGGTGCCCCCCAATCTCAATCCAGATAGGCAGTTCAGAAGAATACCATGAACAATGGTATCAAAAGAAGAAGAGGAGATTGGATTTATACCCCGCCCTTCACTACCCAAAGGTGTCTCAGAGCGGCTTAAAAACTCCTTTCCCTTCCCCTCCCCACCACAGACACCCTGTGAGGTAGGTGGGGCTGAGAGAGCTCTGACAGAAACTGCTCTTTTTCTAGGACAGCTCTTATCAGAGCTACGGCTTGCCCAAGGTCATCCAGCCAGGTGCAAGTGGAGGAGTGGGGAATCAAACCTGGTTCTCCCAGATTAGAGTTTGCGCACTTAACCACTACACCAAATTGGCTCTGTTGCTGAAAGGTCCAAGAGAATCAATAGTCGCACTCCCTCTATCCATTTCCTGGCACAAGTCATCCTCCAGTGCAACCAAGGCTGTTTCAATCCATAACCCACCGGCGTAATCTGCGGGGGGGCTGAGGGGCTTGCGCCTCCCCCGAAATTTCCCCAGAAGCCCCGCCCACCGGCTGCGAAGGAAGCCACCCGGCCCCAGCCCCACAGCGCCCAATTTGCGAGTGCTGCTTTCCTTCCCGCCAAATTCAAGGCGGGGCCAACCTGCAGCTCCCGAGACTCTCTTCAGGGGTGTCCCCTGGCTCAAAGCGAGCTGACGTGCCCAGTGCCAAAGGGAGAGCGCGCAAAGCGGCGCACAAAGTGCCTCCCAAGGAGGCTGGGCGGGTAGGCGTGGGCCCCGAGTGAGTCCCCATAAGGGGGACCTCGCCTCTGGCTCCTCCTCGACGTGCGTCTGCGACTGCCTGCGAGAGATGTTTCACCGCAGTCTCAACTCAGAAAAGCCCCAAAAGATACCCTGATTGATGGTATCAAAAGCAATTGAGAGGTCTAGAAGAATCAACAGAGTTGCACCCCCTTTGTCCATTTCCTGGTGCAGGTCATCCACCAGGGTGATCAAGGCTGTTTCAGTTCCATTACTGGGCCTGAAATGAGATTGGAGATGTCATCCAGGAATGCTTGAAGTTGTCCAGCCACCACCCATTCAATCACCTTACTCAAAAATGGAACATCTGAAATTGGCCAATAATTATTGAAATCTCCCACTTCAAGGGTAGGCTTCTTTAGAAGTGGATGCACCACAGCCTGTTTAAAGGCTAGGCTGACCACCCCCGCTCTTAAGGAAGCAGTAACTGTCCCTCAAACCCAGTAAACCAGTCCCCCATCCCAGGAAGATTTAAGCAGCCAGGAAGGGCAAGGGTCATACAAGCAAGTGATAGGCCTGAAAATTCCAAGGATTCAGTCCACATCCTTTGACTGAATAAGCCAAAATATATCTCACACGACTGAACAAGAAGGCACCCTGGCACCATCCAACACTGTCACTAACATAGGGTCCAAGTTGGAATGGGTGGGAGAGATTTTATCTGCAAAATGAGCAAAACAATCATGGTGAGCCACCAAGCAGTCCACCTCCTCCTGCAAGCCAGATCTCAACAGGCCTTTAACCACCTAGAACAGTTCCACTGGCCTACACTATGCAGATGCAAAAGTGTTGTTTCTTTGCCACCATCATTACCTCAGAGTATGCTTTAAAATGAGCTTTTGCCCATATCTTATCAGATTGAGCCTGAGTCTTCCTCCACTGTCACTCTAGCCATCTCCCTTGTATTTTCATCACCTGCAGCCCCTCAGTAAACCAAGGGGCTACTTGGGCTCTAATATCTGAGAGAGGACACCTGGGACCAACACTGTCAACTGCTTGGGTCATTTCCTCATTCCAGAGGTCAGCCAGGGCATCAACAGGAGCACAAACCATATCAATAGGAAAATCCCCTAGGGCCATCAAAAAGCCTTCTGGATTCATCTGGCTCTGGGAGCGGATCAACTTAATAGATCCTCCTCCCTGTAGAGTTTTAGTATCCCTGTAAGGCCAAATCCAAGCAGGTAGCAATCTGTCCATAACAAAGGAACCATTATCAATTCCTCCTCCCTCAGATCACAGTCCTCCCACCCAGAACAAAATTTCAGAACAAGAGTGTACCTGCACAATGTGTATGACCAGTTATTACCTGAGATACGCCCATTGCTGTCATGGAGGCCATGAAGACCTGAGCAGCTCCTGACAAGACAGCCTCAGCTTGAATGTTGAAGTCCCCCAGGACAACCAGCCTAGGAGTCCTCAACACCATCCCTGAGACCAGCTGTGTCAAGTCAGGTAGGAAGACAAGGTGGGAGGTACACTGACAGAATTTCAGTCTTATCTCTCAATCCCAACTTTAGGTACAAAGCCTCAAAACCAGTAGGAATGGGGCAGTGTGCTGGGGGATAGAATCCTTATGGGATACAGTAACACTGCCTCCCCACCGACCAGACCTATGCTGATGTATCACTGAGTACTCTGGAGGGCATAATTGAGTGGTTAACCCCTCCCTCCTCTCCTAGCCAAGTCTCAGTGAAAAAGAAGAAGAGATTGGATTTATGCCCCACCCTTCACTACCCAAAGATGTCTCAGAGCGGCTTACAAACTCCTTTCCCTTCCCCTCCCCACAACAGACTCCCTGTGAGGTAGGTGGGGCTGACAGAGCTCTTGACAGAAATTGCTCTTTTTCAAGAACAGCTCTTATCAGAGCTATGGCTTGCCCAAGGTCATCCAGCCAGGTGCAAGTGGAGGAGTGGGGAATCAAACCTGGCTCTCCCAGATTAGAGTCCGTGCACTTAACCACTACACCAAACTGGTATCAAACTGATACATGCCAGGTCAGCTCTGTCATCCAGGATTAAATCCTAGATGGCTGCTGTTTTTCCTGTGACGGATCTGGCATTTAGTAGCAGGATTTTATAGCCAGCTGGGTTGTTGATATAGCTACCAACATCACTTAGGTTTGCATCACTTAGGTTTACAAATCGTTTTGAAGTTCTACCACAGACTTATACCACAGACCTATGCTGTGAGCACTCAATGAAACTGCTGAGCAGTTGGGTTAGAACAGATAAAAGGAAGTACTTCTTCACCCAGAGTGATTAACACATGGAATTCACTGACACAGGAACTGGTGGTGGTTACAAGCATGGATGGCTTCAAGAGGGAATTAGATAAACATATGGAGCAGAGGTCCATCAGTGGCTATTAACCACAAGGTATAGATAGGAACTCTCAGTCTGGGGCAAGTGATGCACTGTATTCTTGGTGCTTGGGAGGGGGGCGCACAGGGACAGTGGGAAGGCTTCTAGTGTCCTGGCCCCACTGATGGACCTCCTGATAACACCTGGTATTTTTGGCCACTGTGTGACAGAGTGTTAGCCTGATCCAACATTGGCTTCTCTTATGTTCACAGATGTCAGCAAATTAAACAATCTTGATGGAGCATGATTATTACTAGTGTTAACCATGTACTATGACATTTAAAGACCTCATTCTTCAAGTTTCACAGGTGTTCGCAAATTATACCAATTGAGATTTCTAATTATCCACTAGGACACTTACTGTTGTAAGAACATTACGAAGTTCGCCATGCAAGATATAGCCATCATTATTTGCATCCATTTTTGCAAAGGTTTTTAGTAGCTCTGTTTTCTGAACAGGGGGTTCTTTTTTCAAAATGAAACAAAAATCATCAAAATTCAGTGAGGTGGTTTGGAATGTCCAGTATTTATTAACTGTCTGCCAAGAAGGATTTCTTCCTGCTTGCTGAAGTACTGCACAATATAATAAAATATTAGTGGTTACTGACACTGACAGAATGCACATATATCCATAAGATTTTCTCAAAACAGTATTTAAATATATAATTAAATTCCTATTTCAGTTGGGTTTTTTTTTTTAAAAAAAACCCCTTTATCTATGCTGTGAGCTAGCCAAGAACCCATCAGTGCAATGCCAGGAGCATTTAATAGCAAATACTTATACAATGAGGCCTGAGCTAGCAGTTTTTGATGCAAAAGTCTATCTTCTATTACACTCCCAAGAGTCTTCACTTTCTCAAGGAAGTGGGGATCTAGATGAGATGCTTGAAACACCATACAACCTGTGAACAGATTTCTATCATATTCTAAATAGTAGTCATGCATACTCTGATTGGGACTAAGACCACAGAGGACAGGTAGGATTTTTAAAACTCTTTCGGCCATACAGTTTCCCCTAATTTCTAATCGGTACATTTTCCCACTAAGGCAAACAGCTTCTGTTTGAATTGTGCAAATGGTACAGAACTGCTCTGGAGATTGGTTGGTTGGCCTTACACTGCCTTGACTAGTCTGAGCCCAAGATTCTGAATTCTGCTTCTGAAATCCAATTCTTGTATTCTACCTGAATTTGCAATCAGCTATGTCCTATACATTTCAGTCCATGTATAATCTTAAACCAGAATAAATCCTTAGTACACAGATATTCCAATAGGAAAACCTGATCCTAAGGTGTCAAGAAAGCAGATGATTACGGAGACTTTTAACTGCTGATCTCTAGCAGACGTTCTTTCAGGACAAAGTAGAACAATATTGGCCACAGAACATGAAAAAAGTGTTGCATCCCAAGATCGCAGCTCTGCTACCTGTATTTCAAACTGAACTATGAAAATACTGGTCACAATATTCAGAAAACTCCTTCTGGCATGTGTAAAGGCTTGCAGTTGCCTAAGGGAATTTCTGACTTGTCTTCCTTGAAGAGTAGCCCCAGTGCTGAAGCACTAACTACTTTTTAAACTCTGTTTCGAGTTTTGAAAATGGTTTGCCAGAAGGCTTCTCTTCAAATAATTAAGGCTAAAAGCCCAGGTGGGCATGTGAATGTAGTTGCATGGATGACTGGATTGTGGAAACTGCCTGCAAGGTATTTTTTGCTATAAGGGTAGTTTAGCTTTCTAGGCAGGCATCCTGGCATCTTTCTTGAACAGATTATTCATTTTCTTAAAGACAAAAAAAACTGTGTTGAAATTATTACAAAGTTCTCCCCATTTGATGTATTATTTATACTTACTGGAAATCAGTACTTGCTGGGAACCCTAAGTAGTCCCTTCAGGCTACTTTTAAAAGAGGTTCCTTTACCTTACCCTTTAAATGTTCCTTTTAAAAGATGAGAATTCTGTTAAGTGCCTATAGAGACATGTTCCTGTGTTACATACAACTTACATGAACAAGAGTGTGAAGGACCAGGTCATGAATTACAGAGCAGGGTTTGTGTTATTAATGAAGTATCCTAAAAGTAATGACTCTCTAGTGATTTGATTCCTTGCTAGAACGGAACTTTAAGCTTTGACATGGGCCTGGACTAAAAACAAAAACTGGAAGTTTGAACTCTCAGTTGTCCTTCCTAAGCTCACCACAAAAAGTACATGGCCAAACATTTCTCATGAGCTCAAATCATGTACAGACAAAGATGAAAGAATAGCACATACAAGAGAAATAACATCTGTTTGCACAAGTTGTTTTAAAAATCCAGATTAGCTAATGTCAATACAGATTTTATATACTATAGGATACTCTGAGGGAATTTTGATTCTGAAATCATCAGAGTACCAAAAGAACATGTTCACGAGAATTACAAAGGACACAGTCGATTTGCTGATGACATTAGTGAAATTAAACAAAACAACAGCAACAACAGTTAGGAGATTGTTATGTAATGCATTGTTTTCAACATTTAAAACTCAACCCCTCTTTTAAATTTAAAGTCCCTTATGGTACCCTCAGCACACCATCATGTGTTCCACATGTGACCATGCTGTACTCTTTGTATAAATAGTCATAGGCTTACAAGGTCTTGGATTTGCGGTAGCATCCCATATTGACATTGGAGGAGTAATAGAACAGGGTATCTCCCCTCCCCTCCTAAAGCCATGCAGAGGAAAACAATGAAAAAAGCCATAAGTCTTTCTAAACTCCTTTCTTCTCTGATCAGTCAGAGTGGCTTACAAACTCCTTTCCCTTCCTCTCCCCACAACAGACACCCTGTGAGGTAGGTGAGGCTCAGAGAGCTCTGAGAGAACTGCTCTTTCAAGGACAGCTCTGACAGAACTATGCCTTGCCCATGGTCATCCAGCAGCTGCAAGTGGAGGAGTGGGGAATCAAACCCAGTTCCCCCAGATTAGAGTTCACTTAACCACTACACCAAACTGTTAACCACTACACCAAAGATAAAATGTTTTAATAAAATTAATACATTTTAAACAAAAGCACTTACCTAAACACAGTTGTTCTTTTGATTTAATGTTTTCTAAGCTGCTCTTAAAGATAGCTAAGTAGGCTGCTCTGCAGTTCCTATAAAATATTTCCTCTTCATAATTATGAGACCTTTTCACTTGAGAACTTTCTGAAGCAGCTGCCTGTTCACTACAGGAGGACGCATTGCTCTTCTGACCGCTGGCCATTCTGTGAATAATGCAAACATATTTAGAACCTGCTTCTTTTATTTGCGTAGTTCAGTATCTCATTACCATCTGTCCAAATGTACCATCTGACAAAATGTTCACTGAGCTTTTGCTATATTTCTGCTACTCTAAAACAAGTTTACAGGTATGTCTTTTTCTGCATCCATGACTGAAAATTTTATAACATGTCTAGTAAGCACTAAGTGACATAAGTAACAATGAATTTTATTGAACAAAGTTAGAGTCCAATGGCACCTTTAAGACCAACAAGTTTTATTCAAGGTGTGAGTTTTCGTGTGCATGAATACTTCGTCAGACAATGAAATGAAATAATGTATCATAGTTGTATATATAGGAGTGGTTTGTTAAATTAGCATGCAAAATAGTGAAGATATTTTTTAACAGATCAAAAGAATGACAAGCTTGGTTTCTGGTTATCATTTGTTTGGGTTCAACTGGGGGGGGAAACAACATAGGTAATAAATATGTCGGAACTGGAAATTTTATTGCAGTCGCAAATTCATGAGTGAAAGGCTGTTTATGACACCAAGAAAATGTTGAGAATCACCCAGTCAAAGCCAGCGTGCTGTAGTGGTTAAGAGTGGTGGACTCAAATCTGGAGAATCGGGTCTGATCCCCCACTCCTCCCCATGAAGCCTGCTGTGTGACCTTGGGCCAGTCACAGTTCTCTCAGAACTCTCTCAGCTCCACCTACCTCACAAGGTGAATATTGTGGGAAGAGGAAGGGAAGGCAATTCTAAGCTGCTTTGAGGCTTCTTAAGGTAGAGAAAACAGGGTATAAAACCCAACAATTCTTAAGGACATAAGAGAAGCCATGCTGGATCATGCCAATAGCCCATCCAGTCCAACACTCTGTCATACAGTGGCCAAAACCCAGGTTGTTTCTTCTTAAATACTTCAAAATTCAAAATACTATTTTGTAGCATATTGTTAACAGTTCTAGAAGAGGCCAGCATAGATGTTATGCAGTATAAATTGGGGACCTGCAAGGAGTCACAGAAGAGGGGGATAATAAAGTATCAGGAGATTCCCCAAATGCCCCTCAAAGATATTACAAGTTCTCAGACGCTCCAGCGGGTCAATTTTCTCATCATACCCGTTAGGGTTTTTTTTTACCCTTTTTTCTGACTCTTACTATCTCTCAATATGCTAAAGGAAGAGCATGCTCAGTCCTCATCAGGCTATTTTACAGTAAGGGGTCTTCTTTCATCTAATTGACAAACTAATATTGTTCTGCATATTTAAGGAGTCCTCTGAACCTGCAGAAACTCCAACCTGGTCTTCAGGTGGGTCCCCTTTGCTGCCTTCATAATAACCAGTTGACAAAAAACAGGTATGAGAAAGATCACACATCTCTTTGTCAGTCGGTGCTAATTGGGGGCCATGAAGAGAAGGGAGAAAAGGTTAAATCCTCTACCTCCACTCAGATTCACTCATCAAAACTGGGCTCCACCACTTCATTAGCAGTTTAAAGGGGAAAAGATGTATTTTTAAAGGACATATCTTTTAAACAGGCTAAAGCAGAGTGGAGAGCTGGTTGCAATAATTGAAACTGAGCACAGGGTGAAGGGTTAACCACTTCTTTTTTCCCCACAGGTCCCCAAGGCATATTAAAGCTGCAAAAGCCTGCAATTTACATGTTATAGATGGATGAAAATGTATGATATTTGTCACATTTACTTGAACCCTTAGAGGGAAGAATTTAGGGGATCTGAGGTATCATGGATAGGGGAAATAAAATAATTTCAAAATTACTCCTGCCCCAAATCTTGCACAGTTCACTTTCCTTCAAGTGCAACCAGTTGTGGATATCTGCTGCCAGCTACCAGCTTTAGCATTTGGCATACCACTGAAAAGGCCATTTATTTAAAAAAAATTACCTACTAACTTATACTGAAAGACAAATTTTGCACATGATTGGCAAATGCACATGACCATAGGCAAAGGAGACAGCACATGCTGGACTGTCATGAGAACAGGCTTTTCATTTTTTGAAATGAATTTGACTAAGAAGAAATTAGGGGTTTGATTAAATTTACTGGAATTTTTGACCACCATCAACAAAAGTTTTGCCTTAAGATACACATTTGAGTCATAAAACAGTTTTATGCATTTGTGTTCAAGCCTTCAGTGAATTCCACATTAATTTGTGTGCTCATGAACCCCTGAATCACAGAAACGCAGGTACTACAGTAGATTCTGAGACACATTCTGGCAGGTGTAGGAATATAGAATTAAACACAAATTCCACTGGGGTGTTAGTCTGTTGCAGTGCAGGGAAATAAAATTTAGTGGCAACTTAAAGACTAATACGCTTATTGAAACATACATTTTTGTGGGCTAGAGCCACTGATACATCTGATGATGTCAGATCATCAGTTACCTACAAAAGCTTATCAAAATAATAATCCTCTTAGCGTATCGGCGGTTTCCAGTTCTCCCATCGGCTGTGCAATGCGCTCCATCAGCCATTGGCCCATCAGCCGTCACTCAAGAGTACTCGTGTGCCATTGGCTGGGTGTTGGGTCTGCTCTTCTTCCCCACCTACTCCCACTTCAGCCACTGTTCCCTGTAAAAATGAATGGCAAACGGCTGTCTCTCCTGACCAAGACACTTCTTCTACTTGGCTCTTCTGTGGGACTAACTTTTCCCTCAGTGACTGTTGGCAGGCAACCAAGCTTGGTTCTGTCAGTTAAAAGACAAAGGAAGGAAACCCTTTCCAGGCCTGTTTGAGGAACTCATTGGGGCCAGTCCTGACTAGGGTTGCCAGCTCCAAGTTGGGAAATTCCTGGATATTCTGTGTCTAAGGAAGCCAATCTAAGGAAGCCAGAGTTTGGGGAGGGGAGAGGCCTCAGCTGAACAGAATGCCATAGAGCCCACCCTCTAAAGCAGTTATTTTCTCCAGGGGGGGGGAGAGATGTGTTGTCTGGAGTTCAGTTGTGATACTCGGTGATCTTCAGGCTCCACCTGGAGGTTGGCTACCCTAGGCACAGCAGTTAGCTCTTCAGAGCAGGATCTGCCAGACCCAGGTTCTTGCTGCGAAAGCTGTGATTTCAGACCACTCACAGACATTCAGCGTAACCCAAGCCCACTGCCAGCTTGGCCACTTTCCTGTCAGAATAAACTGTGAAAACGGCTCTCTCCTGCTTGGCTCCGCCATGGCTGGCTGGCTACTGAGGTGGGACAGCAGCTGTGAAACCATTCTCTTCAACCCCCTGCTGTGCAGCTGACTTTCTCCTAGGGTTCCCAATCTCCAGGTGGGACCTGGAGATCTCCCACTGTTACAATTGATCTCCAGATGACAGAGATCAGTTCCCCTGGGGAAAATGGCTGCTTTGGATGGTACACCCTATGGCATTATATCCTGCTAAGGCCTTCCCATCCCCAAATGCTGCCCTCCACAGGATGTGCCCCCCAAATCTCTGGTATTTCCCTACTCAGAGCTGGCAACCCTACTTTCTCCTCAGGGCCTGTTGCTAGGCAACCAAGCTTAGATCTGTCAGTAAAAGGCGGGGGGGACCTTTCTACACCTATTTTGGCCTTTGGGAGAAAACTTATTGGGGCCAGTCCTGACTAGGGTTGCCAGTTTCAGGTAGAGAAATCCCTTGAGATTTTATGGTAGAGTCTACAGAAGCCAGGGTTTGGGGGAAGGGAGTGGCCTCAACTGAATAGAATGCCATAGAGCCCACCCCCCCAAAGCAGTTATTTTCTCTGGGGGGGAATCTGTTGTCTGGAGTTCAATTGTGATAACTGGTGATCTTCAGGCTCCAGCTGGAGATTGGCTCCCCTAGGCGTAGCAGTCAGTGCTTCAGAGCAGGGTCTGCTAGACCCAGGTTCTTGCTGTGGAAGCTGAGTGGGTGATTTTGGACCAGTCACTGACTTTCAGCCTAACCTACCTCACAGGGTTGATTTGCAAGTCAAAAGGGGGAGAGGAGAATGATGTAAGCTGCTTTGGTCCCCATTGCAGAGAAAAATTGTACTTTTCGTCCTGGACAAACATTGCTGCCAATCTCCAGATGAGGGCTGGAGATCACTCAGAATTACAACTGCTCTTCAGATGGCAGAGATCATTTCCCCTGAAGAAAATGGTGGACTCTGCGTCCTTATACCCTGCTGAGATGGCCCCCCATGACAGCCAATGTGAAGTAGCAGTCAGGGCTTCAGAGCACAGTAGAGGCTGCAGATGGGGGGGAGATGGAAAGCTGAAGAGTGAGGGGCAGGTAACGGCTGGTTGATGCTTGGCTAGGAAGGAGACAGAGTTGCCACCTCCAGGTTGGAAAATTCCTGGAGACTTGAGGGATGGAGCCTGGAGAGGGTGGGGCTTGAGGAGGGGTGGGACCTCAGACAGGTACAATGCCATAGACTCCACCCTCCAAACCAGCCATTTCCTCCTGGGAAATTGTTCCCAATGTCCAGGTGAGGGGTGGAGATCACTCAAAATTACAACTGCTCTTAAGGTAGCAGAGATCAGTTCCTCTGGATAAAATGGTGGACTCTGTGTCATTATACCCTGCTGAGGTTGCCACAGTAAATTGACGCTGAGTGCCCAAGGCCGGGGCACTCTCCCAGAGTCTCTTTCTAGAGTTCGTTGTATTTATTTCCAAAATGGGCCTTATTCCTAGTGCTTCAATAAATCTGTTAGTCTTTAATGTGCCACAACCCTTTTTATTTTTACAATTAGACACAATCCAACACGAGCTGGGACTAATGCGCCAGCAAACTCTGCTTATTTTATTTTACAGGGACTTCTAGGAAACTGCAGTAAATGACAACAACTGTGAGTTGTGCTTGTGTTTCCAGGCATCAGGGCAAGAGTTCTGAAAAGGTAAAGCATCCCCCAAACTCCTTTCTTGCATGTCCTTTTGTTATAGAGCCTAAGGGAGACCCCAAGCAGCATCTAAGACAAATTTAAAATGTACAGCAACAATTCAAAGAATAAGTTGAATTTCTGAAATTAGTCTTCCTGTGGGCTGTAGGGATCTTGTAATGCCATACAAAGATGTGGCTGTACACCTATTTTCTCCCTGCTCCACCAATGCAGCATTTGGAGCCAGGAGGTTCTTGCAAGAACTGTCACGTTCAGGTGTTTTGGCCAGACTTCACTCCACATGCTGACTTCCACCCTGATCTTATCTATGTTTATCAGAATCACCCGTGAAATTCAAAGGGATTCGCTTTCTAGTAAGTGTGCTTAGGATTCCAGCCCTTATGTAACAACTTGTACCTTTCCGCAACTGAAGGGGTAGTAGCGCTTTCCTATATACAGCTCACTAGTTAGTAGACTACATATCCTATACATAAAAGCAACCTCTCCTGACATAGGTTGTTCTGACATAGGTTGACAGTCTGGGTGTGTGTCTACAGGTGAAATCCTAGGGATGCTTTCCTGGTTTCCCAAGAGTAAGCAACACTGAATAACACAGGACTTACTTCTGAGTAGACCTGCATAGGGTTGCTTCCTACAACTATTTCAACAGGACCCAGTACATTTAAATCCACTTCCTTGGACATAATGGGTTTGTAGGTCATAAGCAGTAGCTGCCTGAGGAAGGAAGGAAGGAAGGAAGGAAGGAAGGAAGGAAGGAAGGGAGGAAGGAAGTCACAAAGAAACAGAAAAAAAAAAACACAAAAGGAAGGAAGGAAGGAAGGAAGGAAGGCACACAACAACAGAATGAAAAGACCACAGAAATATATTTTCTTTTTAAATAATTTAAATTATTCCACACAACCTTTTCCTCATATATGGTTATGCCAATAGTCATCATTTTTTTTCTTTACCAAAGGTGATGAGGGCTTTTTAGAAGGCCATCACAGAGGAGCACTAAATCATGTTGTACTGTTGGTCTAACAGCCTGCAACATTATTTTATCCAGTGCTGACTTCTGAAAATATATTCCAGTATAATAAATTGAATATTTCAAGTTCAATAACAAGACAACAACAGAGGTAGGGTCCCCTTCAGGACTCATTGGAGCTTTACTCAGGAGGCCTAAATCACTCGCACCTTCTTGAGTTATATAGGCCTTTTACACTTGGGAAAGAAAGATAATAATCGCTTATCATGGATGAAGTACCCTATTTATAATACACAGACCGCCTTGCTTGACAGTTTCATATTACAGTGGCATAAGAAGGACCCCACAGGGACACAGTCCAGTTACTGCAAACTGGTGTCACTATAATAATTAAGCACCACTGTTAGCACACACAAAGGAAAGTGAGTTCTAGCCAATGAGGGAAAAGAGAATAAATGTTAATTTTCCAGTAACCAGTTTTATCAAATATGAACACTTGTTTATGCTTCACAATCCTTTCATTACTTATCCATATCTTATCTGGGCAGCTGTGCAGAGGATGTTTCCAATGTGTTACTCAAAGCGTAGAATGCTAGAGTTATTTAGTAGAGAAAAGCTCTCCTGCTAAGGTTATTAAAATATGAACTGCACTGATACTGCACTAGAAGAACACAGAGTAGGGAACATTTTTCTGGATCTAAATTGGGTAAGATCTAGATGATCTCATTGAGCTTTTCAACACTAATGTCTACTATTTCAGCATAAAACAGATACAATTAAAAATCTCAAGCTCAATTCACATACCTTCATTATATGACCTTTAAAATCACTTCCCTTTCCAATTGTACCTTTGAGCCACTGTAGTGCAGACTGGGACCCAGAGGTCATTTCGGGGGGGAACGCGGGGGAACACGGTTCCCCGGGTGAGGTGCAGGGGGGCGGGGCACATGACGAAGCCCTGCTTCCGGCCAGTTGCTTCCTCCCCGCCTCTCCCCACCTCTGCCTGCCTGGGGCCAGGGAGGGCCTTGGCGGGGCTTCCTCGCACTCCCGCTGGCCTTGCAGGTCCTCCACTGGGCCCCTGATGTCAGGGGGTGTGGCATATGCTAATGAGTTATGCTAATGAGTTCCCCTAGCTCTTTTTCAATGAAATGACCCCTGCTGGGACCTCTCAGCTGTAAATACACATTAGCGGTAAGTTTCGATTGAAACTGAATGTGCTTTCCTCAAAAGCAAATTTACATGAAGTTCTTGCTGGGGCTTAAATGCAGTAACTCAGCACATCTGGTTCCAACAAAGAACAATGTTGGCAATCTGCAACAGAGGCGTAGACTTCTCATTTCCCCCCCAGGGGGGGGGGTCATGAGGATGAACCTGGTCCAAGCCCACACTTAGTAATCTATATTAAATTATTTAAATATTAATTATTTATATTTTTTAAAATGCTGTTAACAATTAATAATGTGGTTTGAAAAATGTTTTTTGACTCGTAATAGTCTGAATCTGTTCAAGAAAGAGGAGATCTCTGAAAGATATCTGAAGAAGTGTGCCTGCACATGAAAGCTTACAACTCGAATAAAACTTTGTTGGTCTTAAAGGTGCCACTGGACTCAAACTTTGTTCTAAGAATAATAAGGTGTGTGGGGGGTGCGCTTCTGTGTGGCAAGTAAATGTTTCAAAGTCCTAGGTAAAGCAAAGTGGCGCTGGTCTGTGCAAGTGGCGAGGATGAGACTGCACAGCAGAAAAGGATTTCAAAAAAATAAGGCCCAGAAATTCAGGGTGAGTCCAGGATGAGAATCTATGGATTCCCACGCACTGGCTGAGTTAAGGGGAAAAGGGGGTTCCCCGAAAGCTGACAAAACGAGATTGCATCCAGGCAGGATAGATAAAAGGGCTGGCAAGGTGGAGGCTTGCCCCACGCCCAAAAGCAGTTTGCATCAGGCAGAGTAGACAAACACACTGGCAGGGTGGAGGCATTCCCCATGCCTGGAGCAGGCTGGTAGGCTAGGAGACTGTCAGGAAAGATCAGCAAACTGTAACCTGGCTCGCCTGGCTGCTTGATAGTAGATAGATTTTGGAATCATGATGAAGACTTGTATTTGCCGATGAAATTACCGTGATAGACCAACACAAGGTTTTGGCCACTCATTAGAATAGCCTGAGGAGAGCCTTGACCTCACCTTCTCCAAAGCAAGGCACTGCTAGCTCCTAACATGGCTGCTAAGGCAAATTTAGCAGAATCCCTAATCTGTCCCTGGTGTCCAGCACAGGGTACACATAATCAAAGGCTCTATCTGCTCTGGGTACTTAGTGACAGAGAAAGACTGACAGAAAAGCAATGCTACCCCCTCCATCCTCCTGTTTGAGGTTGGTGAAGGACTATACCCAATGTCAGCCGTGTCAAAGTGACCACATCAGATTCATCAAACCAGGTTTCAGTCAAGCAAGCCAGATCTGCCTGTTCCTGATGTAACAGGCCAGATATTGCGAAGATCTTATTTTTCACTGACCTAGCATTACATAAACCTGGCATTGTTCAGACATTCCCTGTGAAAATACATTCCCTGTGAAAAACGACATCTTGAAAAGCCTGAGGCTGCAACCTTGTGTACACTTACCTGAGAGCAAGTCCCACTAAACTCTGTAAGATTTACTTCTGAGTAAATGTACAAAATTGGGCTGTGAGCTACTATCCAAGAGAACACTGTCATTGGTGCAGATCTCATAATTCATTAGTTTGCCATGCAAACTACCTGTAAACAAAACCAAACTGTTAGGAAACAAAACCAAAACCTCAGTGCTCTTGTGGCTGGTCTCAGTGGTCTGGACAAAATGGTGCTTTGCGAGGGGCTGTAGTAAGTGATATGAAAGACCTCTGCCTGAGATCCTGGATAGCTGCTGCCAGTCTGAGTAGACAATATGGACCTTGATTGACCAAGGCGGGGTGTGTGTGTGCATGTGTGTGTAAATCAGTGCAGGCTGTTGATACTGCTGGCTGTTGTGGTACAAAACTTATGGATAAGATGCACTGAACCAAGTTATCTTCTTCAAGGCTTGAAAACTAAGTTCCATCTATGATAAGGTACCACGAGTACTGGTAGCTTATAGATACATTGGGGCAGTAAACTCTAAACAGAAAGGAAAGCAATAGTAATATGAATGATTATAACCAAATGAATGAAAAATTTTATATTTGTAAAAATTGTGTAACAACATAAATATCACAGTGATGGATGTGTGATGTCAATGACTCCTTCCAATAATAATATGGCATCTCCTGAATAACAGCCATTTTGAGAAAAACATTTCCTCTCACCTCTTGTTGAGGCTGAACAAAAATCTGTAGCTGTCATATTATTATTATTAGGAATTAGTGACATCACAATTCTACTGAATCTGCCATAATTATCTAGTAATGGATTTTTTTTACCTCTGCTGCTATTAGACCTACAATAGGACACAGCTGCAAGTTTGCCAGCATGTTGACTATTATTTTATTTTTTCTTTTCACATTTTGGAGGCATGAAGTTGTTTTGCTATACATACTGAAGAAGATACTGCAGTCAGTATTAAAATGAGCCATACCTGGTACGATGTCTGCTATATTTTAAGATTATTTTTCATCTATAAATGTTGATGCTAATATCCTTTTATTACTTTTCATTGTTATTTATGCTTTTTTCCTTATTCATTGTTTATATGCTGCCGATTCTATTATTTAGTTTATAATTATATTAGGTACTTTTGTTATGCATATGTCTATCACTGTGATATTTACGTAATTTATGAATAGATTTTTCATTTATTTTATTATAATTATTCATATCAATATTGCTTGCCTTTCTGTTTAATAAGAAGAGAAGAAGAGATTTATACCCCGCTATTCACTACCCGAAGGAGTCTCAAAGCAGCTTACAATCTCCTTTCCCTTCCCCTCCCCACAACAGACACCCTGTGAGGTAAGTGGGGCTGAGAGAGCTCTTTCGAGAACTGCTCTTTCAAGAACAGCTCTGACAGGACTATGGCTTGCCCAAGGTCATCCAGCCAGGTGCAAGTGGAGGAGTGGGGAATCAAACCCAGTTCTCCCAGATTAGAGTCCGCACACTTAACCACTACACCAATTAACAACAGTTATGTGCAATCAAGTCAGAACTATGCTGACCCCAGGACCATGTGGTTTTCAAGGCAAAATATAAACAAATAGTTTAACATTGCCTTCCTCTACACAGCAACCCCCATCTTCCTCAGTGGTCTCCTATTCAAGTCTAAATGAGGCTCATCCTGCTACGTTTCCAAGCTTTGACAGACTGGGCTAGTCATAGCTACTCAGGCACCTCTTTCTGTTTAGAAGTACTTATTATGTTTCCTTTTTCTCATATTGGATACATAACCTGCTGTGGCCCCCAAAGGCTCTGCTGAGGAAGGCTCCCACTTTCCTGACTTTCCATAAGCTATGCAAAAGTGAATTATTCAAGAGGGCTTTTCTACACAGGCAATACTGTGTATAGTTTGCTGTGCGCTGGATCCTATTGTGTAATCTTGCATCATTTAATATGTCATGTTAACAATTATGCCTTGCTTCAGTTTTGTTTTTAGACTTCTGGTTGGTTTCACACCCAAATCCTATCTCATTTTGTACTGAATGTCCCACTTTGTTGATCATACTGACTCATTCTGTGTAATCCGCATTGAAGCCAAGAGGGAAAGGCAGACTATAAATTTTTAAAACCCTTTTATAAGACTGAATTCTATACTTGTGAAATTCCCAATGGAATTTACATCTGTATAATATATACAAAGGACTGAGATTCTTGGCCTGAAAGTAATGCAGCTAACCAAAAATGTTGAGTGTTTACACATGTACCATCTGCACTACAACAGGGAATGAAGTACTTCTATTTAATCTAGTCTCTAAACATCTTATCTTTTAATACACAGGTTGACACTAAAATAAAACAGGTAGTGTCCAAGAGACTACAACCTTTGTCCTAGGGAAAATAGGGCTTGATCTGTAGAAGAGTTCAGTTCCAGTCTCTCTTTATAATGTCATGATTTAGGTTCGGAATCTGTAAAGCAGCGGGGGGAGGGGGACGAGAGCAAACCTCTGGGCATATACAAAAAGACTCTCCCATATCAAAAAGTAACTGCATTAATTCTCAAAACACCTAAAACTACTGCAAGGCGGGTCGGAATAATAGTCAAACCTGAGCTCCAGCATCTCTCTCGCTGAAAATTAAGTACACTATTTTACCTTTATCTGACCTTCTCAACCTTTTTCGGAATCCCTCGAAGCCTTCTGCTTTTCCAACAAGGATTACAACAATTTTGCACCAATAACAACAGCCGTAATGCCAGAGTCGTGTTAGTCTCTCCTGGTACCTTAAACTCATACGTGGCATAAGTATTCGTGGATAAGCCTCTACTTATGGGCTCTTAACGAATCCACAAAAGTTTATGCCAGAATAAATCTGCTCGTTTTTAAAGACTTGGTTGTTTTCATAACAGCGGTGGTGATGATGATGAAAAAGCACAATTGATAAGAGAACAAGAGGAAGGCGCACCTGACACAGAGGAACAGCAAATAAAGAGAGCTCGGACGTGGCGACACGAATGTCTTGGGCCTTTCTTCGGTCGCCCTGGCTTTGTTGTCGTTGCCCACTCAGTCACCTCGCTGGGTCAGGCAGGTAGAGTCCTGCGGCTTTTTCTATGCAGTCTAGTAGTGCCTGTTTCTAGCCGGCGGACTTTGATCGGTGCACCACGCTGGTTCCGGGCGGGAGTCTCAGTTTTGCGATCGAAGGGCGGGGAAGACGAAGTTGGTGTTCGCGCCTGATCATGCCGTAAGTAGCCGAATGGCTGGCGGGCGGGCGGTTTAACCCAAGGGAGTGATGAACGTCAGTAAGTTTGTTCTACAAAACTGAATTATAACGGTACAGACAGGGTTATATACAGTATCAAAATAATAAGTTCCTGTGCATCTATATCTTGATGCATTTCGTACATGGAAAAAAAGCTGGTTTATACAAAATCATCCCATGGATTCATCTAGATCGGTATTGTTTACTCTGACTGGCTGCACTTCTCCACAATCTTAGGCAAAGAAAGGACTTCCCCAACACTGCTGCCTAAAATCCTTTTAACTGGTGAAACCAGGGTTTGAACCTAAGAACTATGGCATGCAAAGCATGTATTTACCATTAATCCACAGCCCCTTTCTTCATAGAAAAACGTGTAATTTACAGAGTGTAACATACGGTATTTGTTAATTATATGAAATCTGGGAAGCTGCTGTAGGAATTGTGATTGTAACTTAGGATGTTCAGTATCAAAACATTACTGCTGGAAACTGGCTATTGAGCTATTTGTGTTTGGCTATCGGTGAGAAGAATCTTAAAAACAACCACAGTAACGTCCACCTAACCCTTTACGTTGCAGCTGGATTGCTCTGTATTCCACCGGTATTTGGTACATAGGAAGTACAAAGTGAATGCCTGTTTTCCCAAACGCTCAGGAATATACAATGCTGAGAGTTTAAAAACATGCATTTGTTGTCAGGTCAACATGTATATATGGAGATAGTTTCAGAGGGTAGCTGTGTTGGTCTGCAGTAGAACAGCTAGATTTGAGTCCAGCAGCACCTTAGAGACCAACAAGATTTTCATGGTATAAGCTTTCAAGAATAAAAGCTCCCTTTGTCATATCTGATGAAGGGAGCTTTGACTTTCAAAAACTTATACCCCAAAAATCTTCTTGGACTCTAAGGTGCCGCTGGACTTAAATGTAGCATGTATACATGAGATGCCATATAGAATGTGAAGCAGCCACAAATGCTCTGATTTCCACAGAGACCCTCTTAAAATGGATGTTTCCTGAAAACATCCTTATTATGTACTTATGAAAAATGCTATTTGGATGTGTTTTGAGACTGTGAGCCCCTGCCACAGGGTGGTGGGCGCAACCACAAAATTGCCACGAGAGGGAGCCAACTACAAATTGCCATCCTCTTTAACAGGATGCCTTCTTAAATGAACATTTTAAAAAATGTTATCTTGCATACACACAGTTTATCTTCAATCATATAGTGAAGAGAGAGAAAAGATTGGATTTATATCCCGTCCTTCACTCCCCGAAGGCGTCTCAGAGCGGCTTACAATCTTCTTTCTCTTCCCCTCCCCATGACAGACACCCCGTGAGGAAAGTGGGACTGAGAGAGCTCTTTCGAGAACTGCTCTTTCCAGAACAGCTCTGAGAGAACTGTGACTGACCCAAAGTCACGCCAGCAGCTGCATGTGGAGGAGTGGGGAATCAAACCTGGGTCTCCCAGATTAGAGCCTGCACTCCTAATCACTACACCAAACTGCATAGCCAATCAGATCTTCAGTAGACAATTAGAAACTCTGCTGAGCAAAAGCCCCAACCGGCCCTGCCCACTTTCTAAAAACGCTTGGGGGCACCAGGAAAGGTGTCAGGCACCACAGCATTCACAGGTACCACAGTGGAGACCCCTGTAAATCAGGCTGTGGTTTACCATGGTGGCCCAAGTGTCATATTGGTTTAGGCCAACATATTTGCACTGTATGCAACCACACAACAATGAACAGTATCAAGATAGCTTTTTCAGTCAGTCTCAACCAAGTTCTCTCCTTACTACAGTTAACTGTTGTTTGTGGAAAGTACTGTCAAGTCACAACCTTTACTGTGACCCCATAGGGTTTTCAAGGCAAGAAATGCTCAAAGGTGTAAGCCAGGGTGCTTTGCATTTAGTAAGTTGGTCAGTATATTTATTGCTTTTCTCATGTGTAGGACCAAAGCAGCTTACAACAAATAAAAATACAATTAATTAAATACGTTAAAAGAAAATAGCATCTCCCTTATATATAAAAGCCGAATGGTGGTGGCACTTCTCTAGAACATTCCACACGCTCCAGAATTGGTTGGCGCCCTGGTGTGTCACTCAGAATCTGTCCCTATCCACTGGCTGTATTGCTTGAGTCTCGCCTCCAACATTCTAAACAGTTTGCTGTTCCTCTCCCCCACATAGCCAGTCAGAACACAGAGGTTATTTGCATATGCAGCCTCATTGGCCTTTGCCTCGGAACACAGAGGTCGTTTGCATATGCGACTTGATTGGCTTTTGCCTCTAACATTCTAAACAGTTTGCTGTTCTGAGGTAAAATGTGTCCAATCTCCAGGTGAGGGCTGGAGATCACTCAGAATTACAACAGCTTTCCAGATGGCAGAGATCAGTTCTCCTGGAGAAAATGATGGGCTCTGTATCCTTATATGCTGCTGAGGTGCCCCCCAATGTGATGTAGCAGTCAGGGCTTCAGAGCACGGGAGAGGCTACAGGTGTGTGGGGGGTGGAAAGCTGAAGAGTGAGGGGGAAATAAAGGTAGTTTGAGAAGGAGATAGGGTTGCCAACTCCAGGTGGGATATGTGAGGGATGGAGCCTGGAGAGGGTGAGGTTTCAGGAGGCGTAGGACCTCAGACAGGTACAAAGCCATAGACTCCACCCTCCAAACCAACCATTCCCTTATGGGGAACCATTGTTGCCAATCTCCAGGTGAGGGCTGTAGATCACTCAAAATTACAACTCTTCTTTAGGTAGCAGAGATCAGTTCCTCTGGAGAAAATGGTGGACTCAGTGTCATTATACCCTGCTGAGGTTGCCACAGCACATTGACACTGAGCAAGGCTAGGGCACCCGCCCAGAGCCTCTTTCTAGAGGCCGTTGTATTTATTTCCACAACGGGCCTTTTTCCTAGTTTATATATAAAAGGAAAGAACAACCTGTATCTTGGAACCAGGCCAGTTGTCCAAGGCCAAAGGGTAAGAGCCCTTTGGATCACATCTCCCCAAGATATATACCTGAGAAAGGAAGTACAAACAAAAACACAGCTAGTATGTTGCAGCTGGCAGTAGCAGTCCTCCCAAACCACCCTCCTTCAGTTCCCATCTCCCATAGCTTTTGTCCATGAAACTTCTATGACCCCCAGCATAGTCTTTTTGGTAGTCAAAGGCAACCTTCTCCTTCCTTCTTCAGCAGCAGAAAAGCTGTTTGGTTCCAAACAAATAAAATACAAATCTTGAGAGCAGATAGCATGAGCTCAATAAATATAATTGATGAACACTGGTGCCAATCTTATTTCATAAAGCTAACCTTGTGATACATCTCATGTCCCTCTTTAACAAACAGTGCTTACATCAAGGCAAAGTCCTATATTCTCTCCAGGTACCAAAAGCTAGAAGGGCTTGGTAGCTCTGAAGCAGAGAGTATTTGCCAAACCAAGGAATGAGAAGTGCAACTGCTTTTAAAAATCCTGTGTAGGGGTGCCTGAGCACCAGGGGGGCTGCAGTCAAGGATAAATTAATTATCTTCACTGAACAGTTACGAAGGAATTGGGCAGTGGATTAATGGAGACACTGATAAGAAGGATATAGACAAGCTGGAACGTGTCCAGAAGAGGGCAACGAAGATGGTGAGTGGTCTGTGAGGAAAGGTTGAAGGAGCTGGGTATGTTTAGCCTGGAGAGGAGATGACTGAGAGGTGATATGATCATCTTCAAGTACTTGAAGGGCTGTCATATAGAGGATAGTACGGAGTTGGTTTTTGTTGCCCCAGAAGGTCGGACCAGAACCAACAGGTTGAAATTAAATCAGAAGAATTTTCAGCTAAACATTAGGAAGAACTTCCTGACAGAGTGGTTCCTCAGTGGAACAGGCTTCCTCGGGAGGTGGTGGGCTCTCCTCCTTTGGAGGTTTTGAAACAGAGGCTAGATAGCCATCTGACAGCAGTTCAGATTCTGTGAACTTAGGCAGATCATGAGAGGGAGGGCAGGAAGGGTTGCATCAGTGCTTAGTTCTTGTGGCCCTTTCTTACACGTCCAGGGAAGTGCTGATTGCCACTTTGGGGTCAGGAAGCAATTTTTCTCCAGGCCAGTTTGGCCAGGGATCCTGGAGGTTTTTTGTCATCTTCTGGGCATGGAACAGTGGTCACTGCGGGTGTGGAGGGGAAGGTATTTGTGAATTATCTTGCATTGTGCAGGAGGTTGATGACCCTGGAGACAGGTGCGGTGCGTCCATATACCTGGGTTAGGCAGTTAAGAAAAAAGAAATTAGCAATTTCAAATCGTGTTTTTCATTCTTCCTAAAATGCATTTATGTTTGAAAAATTGATGGGTGCACGGGGGGGGGGGGGGAAAGGGAAGCTCAGTGTGCAAAAAAACCTGGCACCGGCCCTACCTGGAGGTCTTTTTCAACTCTATGAGTCTATGATTTTATGATAGGTAACACTTTAAGTGTGATGCTGGTGATGGTTGTAAATAGAAGGGTAGAAAATAACCAGAGTGTCCCATAGATTTGCTAATGACTCAAAGAGATCAATTTGCCTTTAAAGATCATCACGTTAGGAAGAGGGCCGGCAGGTCTGGCATCTCCTACAATGGTGACACAAGCATCCAGTTTCTTCAGCAGGTTATGGAACTTGACTGTGCTAAAGCAGCTGGGAAAAGTAGTTGGGAAGATTATATTGGAAACCCTCAGAGGACTTTTAAGAAGATGCTGGTAAGTGTAAGGTGATACACATTAGGACAAAAAAATCCCAACTTCAGGAATATGCTAATAGGGTCTGAACTTGGTGAGTCTGACAGGGAAAAGAATCTTGAGGTCATAGTTCAATGAAAGTATCAGCCCAATGTGCTGCAGTAGTGAAACTGGCAAACTCTCTGTTTATTAGGATTATTGGGGCCCCGGTCACACGGAAAGTTGCCGCGGGAGAGGCATGGATGGTGGGCAGATTATCCGGGCGCGATCACACCCCAACATTTGGGAAGTGGAGCGCACCGGTGGCTTACCGCCGACAATGCGCCTTAAAAAATTAGTACCTCCAAGGTACTAGTAAACGTTTGCCATGGGCTGCCTCCAGACACCCGTGGTGTGATCGCGCCAGCGTGCAGCATTCCCCTCCGGTCCCTCATTTACCCGCTGGTGCCAAGGGAAGGACCCGTGGTGTGCCGCCGGCACGTCTGATCGCGTAATCGCGCATCAAACTGCGCTGGGGCAATTAGCCACGCCTCCCCCCCGCGATATCTGACCTGTGTGACCGGGGCCTGGGAAAGGCATTGAAAATAAAATGGCCAATATTATAATGCCCCTGAATAGATCTATGGTGTGGCCTAATTTGGAGTACTGTGTACAGTTGTGGTCACCATATCTCAAAAAGGACATTGTGGAGCTCAAAAAAGTACAGAAGAAGGCAACCAAGATGATTAGGGAGTTGGAGCACTTTCCCTATGAGGAAAGGCTGAAGAGTCTGGGACTTTTCCATTTAGAAAGGGGGGGAATGATAGAGGTTTATAAAATTATGCATGGGGTAGAGAGAGTTGACAAAGAGAACTTTTTCTCCCTCTCCCAAAATACTAGAACTTGAGTGCATCCAGTGAAGCTGTTGGATAGTAGATTCAGGATGGACAAAAGGAAATACTTCTTTACACAGCAAATGATTACAATGTGGGATTCCTTGTCAGAAGATGTAATGCTGGCCACAGGAATAAACAGGTTTAAAAGGGGCTTAGATAGATTCATGGCTAGTAGCCATGGTGATGGAATGGAACCTCCATGTTCAGAGGCAGTCAACCTCAATCCCAGTGCCAGGAGGCAACATCAGTGGAAGGCCTCAGTCTCTATGCCCTGTTGTTGGCTCTTCAGAGGAACTGGTTGGCCCCTGTGTGAGACTAGATGGGCCACTGGTCTGATCCAGCAGAGTTCTTATTTTTTTAATGTTTGTAAGAAGTCATTGATGTGTGTCATGAGTAAGCTACCTGCTACAAACGCTGTGAACAAGTGGAAGGGATGGAGCAGAGGAAGGAAAGAAATACTTCTCCTCTATTTCCTCCACCCACCCCCACAGACTCATTTGAACTTTGAATGCATTTAAGAACTGCCCTGCATCTTTTCTGTATTTCTTCTACCTCCACCCCTGAAATCTAGAATGTGTGTGTTAAGTGCCATCAAGTGACTTCTGATTTATGGTGACCCTATGAATTAATGACCTCCAAAACCACCTATCCGTAACAGCCTTGGGGCCATGGCTTCCTTGGTTCTCATGTTGGTGCTTCCTCTTTTTCTACTGCCTTCAACTTTTCCTAGCATTATTGTCTTTTCTAGTGCATCTTGTCTTCTCATCATGTGACCAAAGTACGATAGCCTCAGTTTAGTCAGTTTAGCTTCCAGGGAGAGTTCAGGCTTGACTTGATCTAGAACCCACTTATTTGTCTTTTTGACAGTCCGTGGTATCTATGCAACTCTCCTCCAACACCACATTTCAAATGAATCAACTTTCTTCCTGTCAGCTTTCTTCATTGTTCAACTATCACACCCATGCATAAGGCGCCTGAATGCTTCAGTCTGGCATCCCTAAGACCACTAAAGAGTATAACCAAGATCTCATGAAAGATAGCTCTTTCATGGATTAAGGATGGCTGTTCTGCTGAATTATTCACAATGTCTCCACAGGAATTTGGGAACATTGTAACTCTAGTACTATCTAAAGTCAATGACAGATTTTAAATAGCATGGTGCTTGACCATTCTGCCACTTTTTTGGCAAGGTTTTTTTTCCAGGTTGCTATAATTTAATGGGATTTTCATGTAGTTTTTCATTCATCCTAATCATAAAGTTACCTTGAGTCCAGATTCAACTGTACTTTGGCTTCCAGCTTCCTTTAAAGTCCGTCATAAAAACTTCCATCATAACATGCCTCAGTATAGCATGCAAATGCATGGTCCCCTAGAGCACCTTTGCAGAGTGAATGTATTAATGTATAAAATGTTACTTTGCTGCTACTAGAGTGAAAGATGTAATGGAGTCTGCATTTCTTAAGCAATGTGGGCCACTGTATCTGAGAAAAAACACTGTTAAGAATTTTGTGAAACTGTGTTAGTTTTGATTTTCCTTTGGCAAGAATGTAGGTGCTTTTTTAATATTAAAAATATAAATCTTTTGTTGTAGTGTTCTTGTTTTTAAGACAAAAACAAATGCTTTGGGAGTGACCCCTTTTCAACATGAATCAGGACTAGTATAATACAGATGTATTCTTATAATACTTTAAAACTTTCTTCCCAGGGTTTACCTTAAAGAATGGGTGCATTAAAAAAAAAATGTTATTTGAGTAAGGTTCGTTCAAACTCTGGCCCCGTTGGAATTCTGACCATTTACAGAGGCCTTAGTGAGTAGAAACTGGTGTTTGTAACACTATGTAAGCATTTTCTGCATTCAGCTTTTGGTTACTAAACCAAAATGGCTCATTTCCAATATGGTGCCTGTTCCATTCTCTTATGAAATGAAATGCTTCTGCAAAGCTTGTTTAATCTAAAATAATCTTCTGAAGCTTTTATTGGATGATTTTAAAGGTTTTTAGTTGCTTTATATAAAAAAGCCTTTAACTGTTGTTTAAGATTTAAGAATGTACTTTGAAAGTTGGAGTTGTCTCTGGGAAAAATAGTCTTAATTTATGTTGACCTTTCTTTCCTTTGAGTATTTAGTCTGCATTCAATAAAATTTTGATGACTGCTCTTTAGAAGACAGCTGTACGATGTAAAGTATTATAAATATTCAGCTTTCCATTCCTCGTGTTGCCATTAACAGCTGGGCATCCAGTTCAGCAGAACAGATTTTACAGAGAAAGCTTGGCACGTTCCTGAATCAGTATAGTGAAGAAGACGAGAAAATAGTTTCTTATGGTTTGGGGACCTGTAAAGACATAGAGCATCTGTTCCCTAGTTAAGTCATAGTCTGGTAGCACTGAATCATGTTAAGAGCTAAAATGATGTGAAGAACTACTTCTTTCACCTTGAATGTACTGGGGTGTAAATGCCTGATACATTATTTCTGTGAATAACAAAATAATTGTGATATTTACATGGAAGGTAAGTTACTGTGCACTTGCATGCAATTATATTTCTTATTAGTATTTTATAGGTAGCATATAGGGTTTTATTTAATTGTTTGGACAGTACGACATCAGTATCCCAATTTGAACAGAGTTGTCCCCATTTGTGTAACTGAAGAGGTGGGTTTTTAGAGCGGGCACCAACAAAATGTTATAAAGCTTCTACAGCTTGTATTGTTCACTAGCTTGTTTATTTCTTTGTTTTGTATGAGGTTAGTTTCTGTGGTGTAAACGCATAAGATGATTTTTATCATTTGATAGCCTCCATGTATGGATTTTTCCAGTACAAAATTTGCTTTTGAAGGATGATACAACTTGCTTCCCCCCCTTTCTTTTACAGTGTTAAGAGAGCTTTGAAGTTGGACTCCTTTTCCACAAAAAAAGTAAGTCTTGTGTTTCTGTTTCTATGATTAATTTTTTTCCCTAAAATATACATAAATGATTGGCAGTTCACTGAGGCTATCACAAATTACTTGGCAATCCATAATAAAGCCTTTTTGAGTCTGAAGAAGAAGTGACTGCCAGATGTCTTTGGGAGAAGAACTGTTCTTATACAATAATCTGACTTGCATGAAGCAATTGACTATAACTGAAGGAATTGCAGGGTAATTTTTTATTATGTATACACCTTTTTCAAATGCCAAATGAACTAGGGACCTTGTGGAAATCATTTATTAGAAATTAGCTCTGTAATTGGAGGAGAAAATGCACTACCATCTCACTGTACATATAACAATATGGGATTATGATAATGCAGTAATCTGCATATTATAAACTGCAAAATTGAAATGAAAACATTAAAGACATTTTTATGTTGAGAATGTAATTACCTCTCTCAGCTAATCTAACATAATGAAACGATTAAATACTAACACTGCAATAAATTTCCCCTACAGTTATCACAATAAAAATAAAATTGCTCTGCTCTTTCTCTCTTTCTTTCTTTCTTTCTTTCTTTCTTTCTTTCTTTCTTTCTTTCTTTCTTTCTTTCTTTCTTTCTTTCTTTTTTGTAAAATGTGGTCAGTATCTATTTCCAGAGCCATCATGTCACGACATATTCCCGTTTATTACCTTCAAATACCAACTGTGGGTGCTGCTCCAAGCCCTAACGCAGAGGAGTTCATGAGGCAGGTAGCCTTAAAGGATGCAAAATTGAGGAGGAAGCCTTGATGTACCTAAGTGGTTAGTCAATAAAACAAGCCTCCTGTTTCATGTGCCCACACCCACGCTTCTTTTATAGGTGGCAGTCTTTAGAGGTCTCTGTGGTACTTAGCAAAATCAGAAAGTTGGCAGTGTTAAAATATCTTTTGTATACTTTTTATGTTTTAAAAATGACAAAATACAGTAGAGGCACTAACAAAAATCATTAGCAATTTAATTAGCAATTTAGTTTTCCATTACCCACCTTGTTGTGCTCCGAATACAGCTGTGACTGTAATTATGCATCTGCTTCATTGGTCAGAGTAACATTTTTAGAGGCGAGTGGTTCAGCTTGAAATTATTCTGTTCCACCCTAAAGCTGTTTTTTCCCCCTGAAATGAAAATGGGAAAAAAATATTTTTGAGAGAGAGGAACTGTTTACGATGCTTGCAGTGTTAAAAGCTCAGAGCTGGAAGCCTGAGGTTTTCTCTTCTAAATATTAGGGGTGGGATTAATCAGTGTAGCTGTTGATGGACATGGATTGTTCCTTCTCTTATTGGTGTAAATGCTTTTTTCTCAAGATTAATCAAATTGTTAAATAGTGAAAAGGAAAGAAAATACAAACCTGCACAGTGTTACAGGTTGCTCAGAAGTGGCTTACATGTACAATTTTGAGCATGCATGTAGGGGAGACACAAACAGAGGATGTAAAGGTAAAGCCAGAGATGGTACTAGAAATGTATACATTTTGTGAATTTAGCCTTGTTGCAGAAAGTTTTCAGCTGTATCATTGCCTTTAATAAGACATGGATGGTGCCTGCTTTTTAAAGTGCCATAAGACTTTTGGAAATACATAAAAATGGAAAATTTATATGGAGTCTGCTTTTAATCAGATGAGATTGGGGGAGATTATGCAAAAAATGGCAAAAACTCTGGAATAGAAATAGTTGCTATTTTTTTTTTGTTTTCCATGCAGTTGTGGTTATTCGTTATTTTATTAGACAATATATAATTAATCTGCTTGAACTGTCAGAATAGCTGTTTACACATTTATGCAGTTTGCCCCAGCTCAGGATTCAGCTCTGGAAACAGCCTTTAGTGGCAGGATCAGGGAGAAGAATCTTTGAATAGTAACTAAGAAGAGAAAGTGTATGAGGATGTCCAGATTGCATTTCTCTTGTGATTGAGGAAACTCAAAGCTCCCCTTTAGATCTGGGATTTAAGAATAATGTTTCTACATAAACCTAGAGAAAGCACATCTTCTTATGGAAAGTAGCCACCATGTAACGTAAAAGTTCAGGGAGAACAATGTTGTTTTAAGTGGGATGTGTTCAGAAGGGACACGAAGAATATTATTTAATCTGAAATAAACTGATTTGCTTTAATATTCAGAATATACTAAGTATTTTCTCAGTACATAGTCTTCTGCAAACAGCACTTCTATATATATGAAGTCATGACCACGTAACTTTCTGATCTGCATACCACTTAGACTTGATTCAAATTGTACCCGGGCAGCACAGATTAAAAAAACCTCATTGAGGAACATACATAAATAGTATGTGTCTCAAGGGGGCTTGTGATGTCAACGTGGCTCCTTCGGATTGATTCCTTAATCCAGTGGAAGCAGTGGCAATGCTGTACTAGTAATATCTATATTAGGCCTTCCTGTGTGGATTGCAGCCCACTTTTGCCACACACCATTGAGCTAAGTGTAGATTTATTGTAATGTGCAAATTGGAATGACCACAAATGCAGTTTACAAAATTTATTCCACATAGAAATGTTAGGTATCATTAAGATAACTGAGGATTGCCCAAACTATACTTTATTAATGTATGTTTAGTCTTTGTTTACATTTAATTGTTTATATCACAAGTTGTTTTAAAAAGATATCTAGAACTAAACAACTGGAAATAATATATTTTAATTTCTCCATAACATTCAATAATGTAATTGACTGCTATAGGTGTTTCACCCTTCTAGCCTCCTGGTTTTTAAAGTCAGGAATTGCTAAATACTAAATGCGTTATTATTTTTTTTTAAGAAACCCAAAAAGTACAACCATTTAACCACATCCTTGGAAACCTCCTTTTTTTTTCTTTTTTTTTTAGTTTGGCTGCTATGCCTAAGCCTCAGATCCATATTTTTGCCCCTTAAAGGCTGGAAACATAGTTTAGTCTGTGAAAACTGGAGTTCTTTCATCTGTGGGCCACCTGAAATGCAGCAAGAGATGCATGACACCCTCCCCTATTCTAGAGAGAATCATCGCTTTCCTTCATATGAAAATAGAGAGGCTGCAGTGTAGGTGATTAAATTTGAAAGGGAAAATGTGGCTTTCAGTGCATTTTCCTTATGCCACTTTTATTGTTGTTTTTAGGACCCCACAACACCACTGGTGATGAGGAAGAAAAATGGCAAGTCTTATTCACCAACAACAGGAACATGCCTAATCAGTCCATTTTCAACTCCCAGGAGCAATAATGTACAAGAGCACAGAAATGGTCTATCAAATGGTTAGTTGAACATTCTCTTCTAGTTACTGCAGAATTTTTCTGGTTGTTGGCCAAGTAAAATTCTTGATTTAGTAATTTATGTCTTACATGGTATCGTTTCTTTCTCTCGGTAAATTTGGATCTTCATGGATCCAACTTTTTTACATCTTTCACAAATACATGTAGATGATTCTCCTTTAGCTTATTTTGTTTCTCTTTGCTCACTGAAAAGAACAGAAAGGAGTTGTGTTGGAATGTAATCTTGTGATCTACCACTTGTAATTTATCATATTTAATATCATCCCCTAGTATTTGGTATCTCAAAAGGAGCTATACTGTGCTTTAATGCTGTAGAATTTTATTTTAATAATTTCCAGCACTGTACCTCTGGTACTGATCTTGTGTAAACCATCTAACATTTTACAAACAGCGAGGCAGTGTATAGAATTAACAGCGAAAACTTGCAGAGTACATTGGCACAGGGTGTTTCTGGAGTACAAGTTTTTTTACTGCTGTCTTTCATGAGTTATCTCAGTCTTCAACTTCATAATAATTATGTTTTCAGTCACTTACCTCTGTCTTTGAATACTTGTTAGACTATTTCATACAAAAACATGTTAAAGGCTTCATTTTGGTAATGCATCATTTCCACACACAAAAAATCATGCATTTTCAGGATCCTTAGCTGAGTGTTGAATAATATTGGAGTTCTGAAGATTCTTTTTTTAGAAGTACTGCTGCCTTTGTGGATGCAAAAGTTTATATGTTCAGGTTTTGCAATTTAACTTTGTTCCACAGTTATGTGGGATTGGCTGGAGTACTTTTCATCTAGTCAGGAAGACTCGGATAGCATTCTGCCTTTCAATTAGATTTCCTTAGTTGTCCTTGAGCTTGCTAGAGACAGCTGTATTTACATCCTATATCATAATATCATATTCACATGCACACATACTCCCAGAGCTTCAGAAACAAAACTCTAGAATGACAAGGAACTACTTATGCTTCTACCCTTGCACTTTATAGCTATGTGTATGTCATTTATTTAAGAAATTTTAGTGTATTTTCAGTGGAGGGCACTGGTACTTCCTGTTGGACAGACCCTGATGCCTAGGAAAGGCTCATAGGAAAGGCTCATTAATCAATCCTACTACTGCCTTAGGAAAGAACAAGATGTGACAAGGCCATCACTCATATATCTGCCCAAGTCATTTACAAAGCATCTGGATCAAACTTCTCCGCCTTCCATTCCTTGCCTCCCTGCAGTTGCTTGCTCCATGTGCTTTGCTCCTTCCCGGGTTCTGAGGAGGAGGGGGAATGTCTGGAGCACTGGGCTCAAAGGATGGTTCAACGTCCCTTTCTTCCACAGTAATCTTTGCTAGTCAAGTAAGAGCCTAACCCCACCACATTTTGTATATAGACAGGACTAGACCATCTGGTTTGATAGTTAACATCCACAGCTGAGCCAAAATAAAAATGGCTCTGCACATGAAAAGGGGGTGTTTTTGCCCTTTTCAGTTCTGCATTAATGACTGGTAATATCCATGTAAATGCTTAAACATTTTGAAAGTACTTCCCTGTTCCAGTGAGGGGTGTTGGTGGTAAGTTCCATCAAGCTGACTTACGGTGACCCAGTCACGGGGTTTTCAAGGTAAGAGACAATCAGAAGTAGTTTGCCATTGCCTGCTTCTGCGTAGCAGCTGTGGACTTCCGTGTTGGTTTCCCATCAGAATACTAGCCAGGGCCAACTGTACTTAACTTCCAGTATCTGACAAAATCAGGCCTGGGCCATCCAGGTTAGGTTCCAGTGAGGGGAGTGGTGGTCTTTTCCTTTCAGGCAAAGTGACACTGGATGATACCTAGGTGAAAGACTGTGTAATCTGTGTAGTAAAATTGGAGTCTCACATTGTCCTGTACCTTTGAGTTGCTAGCTCATAGTCTGGATCAGTGTGAAGCAAAAAACTTGCTCTCTTGCTTCATTGTCTACTTGTAAACAATTGATTTTACTGTAAAACAACTAGTGGTGCTGTAAAATTCTTCAGAATATCTGCTTTTCCTGTCCTGTAAATACATATAGACATTGAATGCATCTATACAGGCCTCAGGCTGTGAGTCCTATTATGTAAACCCAAACTTCCTACACTAGTAGTTTCAGTAATGAATTATGGAATTGTAGAAAAATTATGCTTTTTGGTTTAGCACTCAGGTATCAAGTGAAGTGGCTGAATAGGAAACATAGAGGATTGGATCCAGTATGCCTATATTCCTGGCTTCCCCATACCCCCCCCCACTGCTATTCCCAGAGTTTTGGGGCCCTGTATGAAGCAATAGCAAGCTGCAGTGAGGAGGGGAAAGAGGGTGCCTCTTACACAGAGCCCCACTGTAGAAAGAGGAAAAGGGGACCTGACGGCCTTCAGAGGGTAGGAGAAAGCTGTGCTGTTCCTTGCATAAGAACTGGTGCTCTTGTAGGTCTTTTGTGCATAGAGAGGCTTTGCAGGCCACCTCAAATTACTTTGTATGCACTCTATAATGTGTAAGGAAAAATTTCAACACACTTGATGAAATAAATACTTGTATTTGCCCTATATGTTCCAGGGTATGGCATGAGCAGAATTAGTGTATATGCTCAGAGCTAATGCAGAGAAAGTTAATTTCTTCTAATCCATGTAGAAATGCATGGACTTAAATTAAATCATGACTAATGTGTTCCATTGAAGATCAAGTTTTAAATCTCATTGTGTAGCTGGTGCCAAAACGAAGTGCATTTTGTTATCATTCTTGAGCCCAGTTGGACAATCTTCTAGGAAGACTGAAGACCACCTTCCTTTCTTAGGAAGAGACAGTTACTATTTCATTTGGCTGAATTTACACAATGGAGTTGTCAAGGAAAGAAACTGGCTTTAAAAATTATGTATGGATCAGGTATTGAAGTGAAAGACAAGAATGACCTAGCTCTTTTGGCTGAAGGTAGATATTTCAGGTCTTTCAGTCATATACCTGGTCTACCAATTAAATATTTTGCAGTGTAATAATAAGCAAAGTTATAACCTTCTAAGTCCACTGAAGTCAACTCTGCGCTGGATGGCACTGATACTATCACTTTCACAAGTATTAGATGCTGTATTACTATTACAGAATACAGCTAATACTATGGGGAGAAAGACAATATGGCCAGTTGATAGTTTATGTACCTTTGCCAGCTGATCCTGTCCTATTAAATGAAAGCTGGTACATGCATATTTGACATCTAAAACAATGCAGTATACAATTTTAAAACCCCAAATGCTGCAGTTAATAAATATGCACCTCTCTTTTTTCACTATTCATAAGCGGTTTTATATTTTTACATGTGTAAGTGATCTTTTGGATTTTGCACATGCTTTATTTCTGACAAAAAAATGGGGAAAATGCCTGAAGGAATTAAATGTCTGTGTATTGGGATGTCAAAGGCAAAGGTGAGTGTGTGCTATATTTCCATATTGTAATTAAATATGGGCATAAGGGAACAGTCCTTTTGCACATAAAAAGATGGATCACGTGTTCACAGCTGACATTTAGATGGATAATTATTCAGCAAAGTAGCAATAGCTTCCTCTTTCTAGTTTTACCAGACTGCAAAATGGTGGCAAGAACACAGATTCCAAACTGTCAAAAATCTTTACTTTTCTCCTCCTACGTATTTTAACGTTTTTGTTTTTATCTTATAACTTAATGTTAAAATTATTTTGTTGTTGATATACGTATTAACATAATGGCAAGTTTAATTGAGCTAACTGAATGACAGTAGGCTCTAAAATTAATACTTTTTCAATCTTAAATGCTTTTCTATATAGGATCTTCTTTTCTCTTTGGTTTTTAACGTGTTACTTGGCCCTGTGCTTTCATGACTGAATTCAAATTTAAATAAAAATCTATTATGGCATATTTTAATAGTACTAATGCTTGCTGATCATGTTCTTTTATGTGTTTTCATAGTACATAATGAACACACATTTCTCTGTGAACAGCTGTAGCCTTGTGAGGATCCATTACAATTATTACAGAATGTAAAACATCTGGAAATTCAATCCTTCCTTAACTAAGTGGAGGACTTAATAGTATGAAAATGCTGTTTTGTGAAGATGTGCAGCATACGTAGTTGCGATCCCATCTCAAAGATGCGTTGAATGTCCTTGGACTCAACAACAAACTTGTGTCTGTTTTGCCAGCATGCCTTCTTTGGGGTGATCTTTCCTTCACTTCAGGATTAATAGCTCTGTTTCTTTGACATCAGTTCTTTTCACATGTTCTTGCATTTTGCTATTTCTTCTTCAAAATCTGTTCACAGTTTAATGGAAAACCTGGATTTCTATTTTTCCTTCCATGTTGGTCTCTGCCCTACTCTGTTACTCTGAATTAACACATATTTTTATGCAATTTGGGTGCATTTTGAATCTTCATTATCCTCCCCCCCCCAGCATAGCCTGCTCTACAGACTTGCTGTTTTCACCTGTCTAAAATGTAGTGTCTTCTATCTGTTTGTACTGCTTTTTTTAAATTGTTTCCTGTCTCCATTACTGTAATATTTTAACTGGATATCTTGCATCATCTTATATATGCTTTGCATTAGTATTGCGTATTTCCATTTTTCTTTTTGCAGTCATGTTTCTCTTCTCCCTTTTAAGTTAATTTTGGTTTATAAAATGAGAACTCTAATCAAGTATGTTAATGGGAAAAGACACCTGTTAAAATGGAATTTCAGAAAAGGCTTTATATTTGGCTTGTGTAGATTATGGTAAATGTTGTTCTTATAGGACAAGTGTCATTTTCCAAGTCATTTTTCCCCACTGCAATTAGTGTACAAGGGAAATAACTCAGCAGGGAGGCTGGGATATAAATCGAATTAAATAAATAAACCTCTGTAACATCTTTATTCCTAGGAAACAGAAAGGAAGTCCATGGCTTGCTGAAGAGCTCATCCAAACAAGGACAACCTCAAATGGAAAAGAATGACAAGTAAGCTTAGCTAACAGTGGTAATGATAATAAGAATGTACGTGTCCCTTCTTGTAGTATTCTGGCAATGCGGGCAGAAGCATGTCAGCAATCTTGGGGTTTAATGCAAAGGTGTCAAACATGTGGCCCAGGGGCTGGATCAGGCCACCGGAGGGCTTTTATCAGGCCCGCAGTGGAACTGGCTGTCTTCTGCTTCTTCTTCCTGTTCTGCTGCTGCTGCTGCATCATAGGTTTGCACACATGAACAGCATACTTAAAATTGCAACAGCACAGACATTTTGATGCAATAATTCAGAGCAAGAGGTGTCAGTTATCAGACACTGTTAAACAAAATATTGCAAGAGTGCTAAAGTTTTAAGCATGGTTTTATTTTAAGTAAAAAAAAACCCTTTGTGTTTGTGTCCTTTATAAAGTTTATATCTCCGCTACCTGGCATTACATTTTATGACACACATGGCCCGGCCCAACAAGGTCTCATTTATGTCAGATCCGGCCCTCATAACGAATCAGTTCGACACCCCTGGTTTAAGGCTTCTGTTATCAAAGCAAACCAGGTGCTTGACAGTGGCAGGGCAGATCACCTGCCCCTTCTTAATTTCACCTTCTGAGGGGAAAGCCAATTGCTTTGGAGGGATGGTACTTTGAATGAACAGCTAACATTTCAGTGGGATTTAGGCACACCAAACTTTCTCCAGCTTGCATGCTGCTAGTCTGATGGTGCTTCTGCACAGATTAGCTTTATCAATGCAATGTTTGGGGAGAGCTGGGAGGTGTCCCCTAGGGGAATGAATACTGTGTTCAAAACAGCAGCTAGTTAGATGCCAAGAAAAAAACATATAAACAGACACCTACACACTAATACTTTATGTGCATTTCCAGGCTCTTTATGTTGTAAAGGAAAAAATATGTAGTCTGTTTCACTGGTATAGATACTTACCTTGGCATGTGGCCATATGTTGTTATCTTATAGTGGCCATTGTCTATTTTTCTTTATGAAGGACTGTAGTTTATAAATCCTGTGTGTTCCCTTGATGGTTAATAAGTACAAGAGAGAAACACAATGAGATCCAGAGAGGTTTCCCAGCACAAGCAATCATGGCTGATCAGTTATAGTCCTGCACAAATGTCACATTTAACCCATTTGTGGTGGGGGGGGAGTTTAAAGAAAAACTATATTACTTGCAAATTCACTTCTTTGCATCGTTTCAGTTTCAGGAATTACATTATTGTACTTAAGTTAATTTTTGTGTGTCTCCTCATTTCTTTAGATTCTTAATGGCACAACCTGCAGTTGAGGATTCAGTGGAAAGATTTCTGCAATTGAGGCAGACATTGATCAGTTTACAGGCATGTTAACATGTCCAGCATCTTTTATTCTTTTTGTAAAATGAATTTTTTCTTTTATTGCATTTGGTCTTTACCATTTCATTACATGTGACCTGAAGTTAATTCATGTTAGTTCACTGGAGTTTTGCTTTGTGCATAAAAAGGTAAAGGTGTCCTTGCTCGAAAGCCAGTCGAGTCCGACTCTAGGGTTGTGGTGCTCATCTCCGTTTCAAAGCCAAAGAGCCAGCGCTGTCCGAAGACGTTTCCGTGGTCATGTGGCTGGCATGACTAAACACCAAGGCGCACAGAACGCTGTTACCTTCCCACCAAAGTGGTACCTATTTATCTACTTGCAATTTCTTGCTTTCGAACTGCTAGGTTGGCAGGAGCTGGAACTAGAGACGGGAGCTCACTCCGTCATGCGGCAACCCAGGTCTCGAACGGCTGAACTACTGACCTTCCACAGCCTGCAGTTCAGCATCTTAACCACTTGAGCCACCGCAGCTCCTTAAAGGTAAAGGTTCCCTTGCTCGAAAGCCAGTCAAATCCGACTCTAGAGTTGCGGTGCTCATCTCCGTTTCAAAGCCGAAGAGCCAGCGCTGTCTGAAGACATTTCCATGGTCATGTGGCCAGCATGACTAAACACCAAGGCGCACGGAACGCTGTTACCTTCCCACTGAAATGGTACCTATTTATCTACTTGCAATTTCTTGCTTTCGAACTGCTAGGTTGGCAGGAGGCTTTGTGCTTAGGACTGCACGTTTCCTAGTTGCCAGTTCTTCAAGACTGCTACTGTAAATCCTAAGGGAAAGAATGCTAATACAGGGTAAATTAATACTTCTTTGAGTCCTTGAAAGAAGAAGAAGATACACAATGTAATACATAAGTAAGCCAAAATTTAGTGTGCTGTGTAGAATACCATTGTGTGTGCTTTTCCATCCATCCGTCCGTCCCACTTAGTGGAATCCTCACAAAATATTGGTGTAGCTTTGTAGTTAAGGTGATGCAGTTAAGGTGCAGTCTAGGTGATGCTTGCAGGAAGGATCTTTGCCTCCTTCCCTTTCTTTCTGCAGCTTCCTGATTCCGTGAAAAGCTGCTTGTAAGAATCAGCGAACCTTTGACAAATGGCATGGACTGTGGCTCTGGAGCTGCATTTTTGAAGGGGGAATCCCCCACACTTCATGAACATATAGAATTTGGGCAGGGGCAGAGGGAATTTCCCCTTTCCTCCATTGCCCCCCCCCCCACATGCTATGCTGTGTTTGAAGGTCTCTTGACTGGGGAATGATGACAGTGTGAGCTCTGTCGGCTCATGGTTGTCTGAACTCAGTGAGTTAGCCTTCAGTTGGAAGTCTACCTTGATCATGAATTCTCCAACTGTCATTGTGTCAACTACTGTCTCTCCCCTTCCCCCTCTGTAAAATAGGGATTCATAATACTACTCTACCTGACAGGGTTGTTGTAATGTACAACGTGCTTTCACGTACCTAGAAAAAGTACTATATGAAGCACTGTTATTTTTTCATGTAATTCACTGTCACATCTGTTTTACTGAATGAGGAGTGAAATGGTCTTCTGAGAGCACAACTGGATGAGATGCTGAAGATCCATGACTGGATCTCCAGATGCTTTTAATTTTCTTTCAGAGCAGGTAAAGAAAGGGTGAGGATTAATCCTTTTCCCCTGTATTATTTCCCTGGGAGCAACTGCCTTCCACACATAGCTTTTAAGTATCATGGAAAGGAAAATGTATTCAATCCACGTCCCTGTTGGGTAAGTTCATAAGAAAGTAGGAAGTCATTTGGGTATGTTGGTCCCAGACCACATAGAGCAGGGGTGTCAAACATAAGGCCTGAGGGCCGGAACCAGCCTATCCAGGGCTGTTATGTGGCCTACGAGCAACTGGTGCAAGGGAGGGAACAGGACGCTGCTAACATTTTATCGGGGTTAAGTTTCAGCTTATTTGTCCGGATCCACTCCAAAACTGCTTCCAGGCACTGGTTCAGGGGTCACAGCCTCCCTAGGGTCAGCTGGGAGTGTGAGATAGAGATGTGTCATTCACGTATTGGTGGAAGTGTGAGATAGAGATGAATGTCACTTGGCATATCGGTGGCAGCCCATTACGTATACAATATCATTCAATAAAGAACATACAATATCAAAAAAGTTCAAATATGATTTGTACAAATTTTTCTATGATGCAGTAAGTTTCATATAAGTCATACAGATACAAGTAACAAAGAATCTGGATATTAATAACTTATTGATCTTCAATAATAACTAGACATAAACAAAATAATACTAAAGAACCAATCATGCATAAAGAAAATTACACAAAAAAAATGGAAAAGGAATTGCCTATTACATGTTTTTCATAAGCATAATTTCCATAAGGATCTGAGGTATAAATATCTCAATACAAATTTCCTATATAGGAAACAAACATGTCTAAATGAAAATCATGCCTCAGTGTAAAGGTATTAGATTAAGAACATCATAGAAACTTACAACTTACCAAAGTATATAATTTCTACAAACAGGCAACCAGTCATAATTCTTTAAGGGAAAGCAACTCCAAAACGTCTATCTGCTGGTATTGCCTCTAAATGATGAAAGAATAATAAACTAATATACAAAGAACGAGGCAACTCCTGATTGTAGAAAAGGTGTGCATCTGCTAGAGGCATTTAAAGGAGACACATAGATTACAAGAAGCAAGACAGTTCCAGCGCCTTGTTAAGACCGAAAGTATGGTAAGATTTTAAGCGATGAATATAATGCCTTCTGTAAATTGATTCTATTATATAGGTAAAGTAAAGGTTCCCTTGCTCGAAAGCCAGTTGAATCCGACTCTAGGGTTGCGGTGCTCATCTCCGTTTCAAAGCCGAAGAGCCAGCGCTGTCCGAAGACATTTCCGTGGTCATGTGGCCGGCATGACTAAACACCAAGGCACACGGAACGCTGTTACCTTCCCACCGAAGTGGTACCTATTTATCTACTTGCAGTTTCTTGCTTTCGAACTGCTAGGTTGGCAGGAGCTGGAACTAGAGATGGGAGCTCACTCCGTCATGCGGCACACTTGAGTCTCGAACGGCTGAACTACCAACCTTCCACAGCCTGCAGTTCAGTGTCTTAACCACTTGAGCCACCGTTGGTAATTAGAGTTTCTAGGACCAAAAAATTGAAATCATTAAAGGCAATTTACAATCGGGAGACATGTTTGTTTCCTCTTTATCCAAGCCTCTTTATCATGCTGGACAGGTCAGAATAGTGCAGGTATGGGGAGCAACAGGGAGCAGGGCAGCAGGCAAGGAAAATGTCTGGTAGCGCAAAATGGCAGGGTGGATTCCTTCAGGCTGGTCTTTCCACAGTTGTTATTGGGTGTTTGGGCATAAACAAGCATTTTAAAATTATACAGTACATTTTTTGTCCATCTGAACTAGTAAAACAAAAAAGTGTGGGAGATTTTGGAATTACATTCTTTAGGTACTTCAAGAATGAGATTTAATTTTTAAATTTTTCTTTCAGGCTTTAGAGGGCACCAGAGAGCTTGAAAATGTTTTAGGTGTTTCAGACAACTCCTGCAACTTAAAAAGTGAAGTGAGAAAAAACAAAATGCTAAGTAAGAAAGACCGTTTAAAAACATAACTTGCTTTTTGTGATATAATTAAGATATATTGTTCATGTATTTAACGTTAATGTATCATATAAGAATATTATGGGAAATATTATATATAGCAATACAAAAAACTTGTCATTGATTCAGTGATACAGAATCATAGAATGTAAGAGTTAAGAGGAATGTTGGAGGTCATCGAGTCCAATCCCCTACTCAAGGCCAGTGTCTTCACCCAACCCACAAAATTCTGAAGATACTCACATTAAGCAAAACAGTTAAAATACTAAAGATCACTGTAGATATAATTCAAGGTGATTTATATCATAACACTGTGTTCTGAGTACAATGCATGGAGTTATTGATTTTAATGTGTTCTTGTATGAAATGGATAAGAATGACCATAACAGCTATAATCCATAGTATGTTAAGCCAGTCAAACACAAATGGAAATTTAAGATTCCAGCAAGCAGCTTCAGGAATGGCATACATGTTTTCTATTAATTAATGCTGATTTCCTTTATGGTCACCATAGGTTGTATGCGTAATTGTGTGTGTGTAAGTAAAACGTTAACGATAAATACATGTGCATTTTACCCCTGACTTCCTAATTTCAAAAGATTGATGTTAGTATTATTGCTTTGCCAGCATTCAGCTTTATATAGACTCTTGAGTGTATCTGTAGATATCATTGTGTGAGATTTTATTATGATGTTCACAAAAACTCAGGAATGGCTATACCAGTAGGCCACATAAAAATAATGTCCCCTTTCTTTGAAAATGAGAAAAAAATAATTGCCCGTATTCCCTTTGACCATCAAGCAGTGTCTCACAATGAACTATTTTGAAATAATTCTAGAAATTAACTAGAATATTTGGAACTGCCATATACTGAACCAAATCGTTGGTCTATCAAAGTCAGTATTATCTACTCTGACCAGCTGTAGCTCTCTGGGCGTTTCAGTCTTTTGAATCTCTTGTTGTTTTTCACTGGAGGTACTAGGAATTGAACTGGGAACTTTCTCCCCCGATACCTTCAGATTCCAATAACATTTAAAATAATTTGGTGAATGTAGGAGTTTGACAAACCACCAGGAACAACAAGATGGTAATTTAGAACTCCGAGATCCTGAACAGCTGAGTAGGGGTAGTAAAAATTTTGTTTTTGGCCTAGATGCTACAGTGCTCAAGGTTACCTGTGTATATAATAGTTTTAAGTAGAATCCTTTGTGTTGGAGAGTAAAGGTGAGCTAACATATTTTTACTGGTTTTGCACATTAAAATCATACGAGTAAAGTTTTCATAATCTCTGAATGCATTTTGTTCATTAGTGGAACAAGTAAGAAAACTGAAGCTGCTGAGAAGAAGCCATGGAGGCCTTCCTGCCCAAGGTACTTTATTTTTAAAAAATAAGCACTGTGTAACATTTGCTTTGATGAGGGGCAGTTATCAAAGGATTCCATTTATTGGGTTTCTTCTGAAACACTTGGAACACTCTTTTACGAAAGACCACATTAGATTTTCTTTCATTGCAACCAAACTAAATCAACCCTCCCCCTTTTGATTGTATGATACTTGGGCTGTTTGCTTATATAACCTGAAAGCAGACGCTCCTATCTGTTCAAAGTGTAAATACCGTAGATGTGGGTCTGTTTCTGTCTATATAATTTTTTTTATCCCACCTGTCCTCCAAGGAGTTCAGGGCAGCACACAAGTTTCTCCTCCCTCCCTGTGTATCCTCACAACAACCCTGTAAGCTGGTCAGGGTGAAAGACTGGCCCAAGGTTACCTGGTGAGTTTTGTAATAAAGTGAGGATTTGAACCTGGGTCTCTGAGTTTCTAGTGCAGCTCTCTAACCACTGCACCACACTGGCTCTGGCACTAGCCCATGTGGTATTAGCAGTGTGGGTTATTGATGAACGTGTATTTCATTTCTAAAGCACCAAGGAATACAGTTGGTCAGTTTTTTGTACTTGAAGCATGAACTCTGCCTAGTCCTTATTACTAGCACTGAGTTCCAAAGAGTGATCTGCAGCTTATACAGTGATGTGATCCCTTCTTTCATGATCTAGAATTTAACAAATATGCGACACTTGTAACCAGAGGCATTCACTCATGAATGTGTGGAAGTTGCATCCTTCTAGAAGGCAAAACACTTATGACTCTTTGTTTGTATCCCCACACAGATAACTGAAGTGCAGAAAGCAGTGATTGGGTGAGGGGTGGAATATGGATCAGAGCCATGGGGCCAGAGAATGCGGAGATTTAATGCTTTTCCTCAGTTTGAAATTCCTTTCCCCATTCCCAGGCTGCTTTAAGCCCCAAGTGGGGGGGATGACATACCCATATTGTACCTGTCTTTCCCCCTTTTCAGAGCTTATAGCAACCCAGGGGGCAGTGTTCCCTCTAAGCTGAGTTAGTGTGAGCTAGCTCACACTTTTTTAGCCTCCAGCTCACACATTCTTGTCTTAGCTCAGGAAGGATGGCTCCAGAGCAAACCAATTTATGCAGTAGCCAAATCACTCACTCACAACTTTAATGCCAGTAGCTCACAAAGTAGAATTTTTGCTCACAAGACTCCACAGCTTAGAGAGAGCATTGCCAGGGGGCCCATTTCTTACCCAGGAAAGACCACATGACGGGGGGGGGGGCACTGTGCTTTACACAGCTCAGATATATGGGGATCTGAATGTGGTTCCCACCATCATGTGTAGTTTGGACCTAATTTCTTTACTATAATCACTGAAGTCCCTTTTGGTACGGAGTGTTGTCAGCTGCTGTGGGGCCTCCTGTTTCACATCCTTGAGAATGCTGACTGTCATGTGCATGTAACTAATATTCATTAGGGACCCAGAGAGAGAGGCGTAGAACTTTGCCAGATTAAGTGCATCAAAGAATTTGCATTCACATTGAGACTTTCTATTGCATGCAGCAGGATGGTTGGTCTTCTTTCATGGGACAAGTTTTTCAGTGTTTTCTTTTCTTTTCTTTTTGAAAGTACCCAAGGGTACACATTTATTGATTTTCTTATTTTCCTAAACACAGACATAAGCAACTACAACAAACAACATATAAACCAAGAGACTTGTTACAGTTTGTTACTACCCCTAATCCATCGCTTCAAAGTTTTTCAGTGTTTTCTTTTTCTTTCAAAAGATGCCACTCACCTAATTTCCATAAATTATTTAGTGGTTTTTTTAGAGCAGAAACTGTTTCACTATGGGAAGTAGTTTAATACAAACTATTTGAGGATGGCTAAAAAGGGTGTGTACTGGGTTTGACTGGTATGTGAGATCATAGAGTCCTTCCTAGCCCCGTGTTATGTGCATTCTATCTTCTGCTAACTTACATATTACTGCAAAAAAAAACCCCAACAACCCTCTATATGGCAGCTGTCTTCTGAGGGGGTTAATTTTTTGATTACAGCAAGAGGTAGCAATGTCACATGTCTTACTACAGATTAGCCACGGTGAATTTATTTTCTTTTAAGGGTGGGGGAGGAAGCCATGCTGACTAATCGAAGACATGCATGCTCTGGGTATCCATAATTACTTACAGCTGCTCAGTACAAGGCTATTTTACTGCACAGATGTCACTTCTGTTTCAGGTGGGCACCATAATGTTGACAGATTCATGCCTATGTTGCTATTGGTACGCTTGTCAGGAAGACAGAGTGGGCAGATGTAGTTCTGCGTACATACTGTAAGTGATGAGGGGAATGCACTCTACACATGCTCTGTTCTCTCCTTTATTATTTACATGGTCAAGGGCTCAACCTTTAATACAGATTAAGCTCTGATGGATGTGAGGGCGATCTGGCTGGCTAGGTGGGTGTCCCCTCCCTCCCTCACCGCTCCATGTGCGTCCCTCCTGAAGCTGTGCGCTCGGTGGAAGAGGACGACCATCCCAGATAGGAGTGTACCATTCTTCAATTAAGCTCTGATTATTACTCAGACCCCATTGAACAGAATTAAGGTTGCAGTCTTCTACCCAGAAACGTATGTATATTTAACTACCTGATCTCAGCATGGACTTAACCATCTGTAACTGGGCACAGTTGTAGTCAGAGTGTTCTTGGCATCATATTGTGAACACCTTATCATGTGGAAAGGAAAGTTTAATTCTGTGGTTCTGTGCTGCCTCCTTCTGTAGCTTTACCTTTTCTTCCTTACCCATCTCACCTTGTCTTAAGTTCAGGTCTTTGAGTGAACAGTAAAGCCTTGATGCCTCTCAAGGCTTTAATAATGATAATAATATTTCTCCAGGGTCTATCACTAGAGGAGCTGAAAGCACTTTACAAACATTTATGAATACAGCCTTGCCACATCCCAAAGACATATGATCTCTATTTTATGAAGTCCCATTTCAGCAAGATACTTAAGAGCATGCTTTGCATTAAGAGTACAAGGAGTGTCTTTGAGTTCACCACTTTTCTAAGTTGGGGGTCCAAGTGAAGAGGTAGGCATATATTTGAAAACAGATACATTCATCGTACAAGCTTATGATGAGGTTAAATAAATGAGCAGCTTCATGAAGTTCTTTGGAATACCCCTTGCTGACATCCTTGTCAAATTTAAGTTTGAATGCAGTTCAGAAGATTTTTTTCCAAATCCATAAATGCTACATGCATGTCACACACCAGCCTGACATCACACTTCCCACAAAACTAACCAGGAAGGGAGAGTGTAAATCTCAAAATTAAAAGGTGGAAACTCTCCCAAAAAGTTTTTAAGACATACTTGTCTTAAAAACTTTTTGGGAGAGTTTCCACCTTTTCATTTCACGTCACACTTTCGACATGCAGATAAGTAAACAGCAATAATAACAACCTTGCTCCCATGACTAATACTGCCCTGTTTTACTGTCCTGCCCATGCTTGTGTGTGTGTCAGAGAAGCACTTCAGTGGATCTGGGAGACTCCTCACTTGGAAGTTCTTATTTCTTTCCTGCATGAGTGTCTACCATAGGTACTCCAGGGTACGGAAGTGTTTGAAAATGCAGTTTGTTTATTAAAATGCTTATATACTGTATTTATAGATACTGAACTCAGGGCAGGTTTACAAAAATAAATACAACTATTTTCAAACCTCCACAGCATAAAAACAAGGGGCCTAAGAAGAGAAAAACAATATAGCTGCTGACTAAATAAAGAGCTCTTTTAAACAAATCCACTTTACACAGCTTAACCAAGGCAGAAAAAGATGGTACAGACCAAATCTTCTTTGGCTGCCAGCTAATAAACGGTCTCCTAATACTCCAGGACTAACATTGAAAAGGTCCTGGAATGGGCCACCACAGGCCTCACTCTCCTAGAGGAAGGGACAGAAAGGAGGATGAAGAGTGCAGCATGAAGACTGCAGCTGATGTACAGGCTCATGTAGGAAGAGGTGGTCTTCAGGCATGCAGGATCAGACTATGTAAGGCTTTAAAGTTGAACTTTCAAAAGTGTTAGTCTGTTGTAGAGAAGTAAAACAAATTGTGGCATATTTAAGACCAACCTTCCTGGAAGCAATTTCTCTGTAGACTTTTGGTTTATCTCAGGGCAACTTCATCTCTGTTTAGCTCAGTCCCATGAGAGGCTCGATCTCTCTCAGTATTAATTAAGTGTAACAACCACATCACAGCCACATCCATTCTAGTCCCTTGGAATTATGCAGAGTGATTGACTACAAAACTCCATGTGCCGCTGCTGCTCCCCTTCTCACCACTCCCCCCACCCATGATGAAGAAGAAGAGATTGGATTTATATCCCGCTCCTTCACTACCCAAAGGTGTCTCAGAGCGGCTTATAAACTCCTTTCCCTTCCCCTCCCCACAACAGACACCCTGTGAGGTAGGTGGGGCTGAGAGAGACAGAAACTGCTCTTTTTCAAGAACAGCTGTGCCAGAACTATGGCTTGCCCAAGGTCATCCAGCAGGTGCAAGTGGAGGAGTGGGGAATCAAACCCGGTTCTCCCCGATTAGAGTCTGTGCACTTAACCACTACACCAAACTGGCTCTCAATTCTGGTTATAAATGATTCTGGTTATAAATGTTTTTGTGAAATTTTCATTTCATATTATGCATCTGAACAACTGAGGTCTGACTCAAGTTTATTTACTTAATTATTTATGCTCACTGCATGGAGCTCATGGCGAGCAGGTTTGTTTCCTTGAGGCTAGGGTTGCCAGCCTGGAGCAGGTGATGCGGAAAGAGAGGTTTGGGGAGAGACCCTCAGGGACTTCCCAGAACAGTCCCACTCCTGTGCTGGCAGCTCTTCTGCTGTTGTGAAGAGTGAGAGACTCAAGGTCAGAGGGCGTCAGTCTGAGGAGGAGGGATGTGATCCCTTAGAAGGAACCCCTTTGTTGGGCAACGGACCAATGTCTTCTCACACTGAGGATACCTGGAGAGA